CATTAATACCTCGACTTATTCTTCAGGAGACATGGTGTCGTAATTTGGAATGGGACAGTCCTCTGCCTAGTGATTTTAAGGAAAAATTTCAATGATGGTGTACAAATTTATGCCAGCTTGAACATTGTAGGATTCCTAGGCGACTTACAGAAGGCCCATTTTCTGAATTCTGAAATTACAATTACATATGTTTTGTAACGCCAACAGCAATGCATAAGCTGCATGCATATTCTTAAGGTCTGATTATAAAGGTAAAATAACAATACGACTGATTTCAGTGAAATCAAGAATTGCACCTCCTAAAAAACCATCTATTCCACGTTTAGAACTGTTAGCTGCAATAATTGGATCGAGATTATTTGCAGAGTCACGTAGAAACTTGAAATTAGAATGTGAAGAATATTGCTGGACTGATTCAAATGTAGCATTGTACTGGATTAAAAAGGAACTACAATGGAATACGTTTGTAGGTAACAGAGTTAGAGAAATACGTTGTATACATGTGCAGTCTATAGAGCTGTACATTTAGAAGTAACCAGATCACTCTCAACTGAATAATTTTTGATGACATTTCGTCGGTTCATACCTCGGCGAGGAATTTGTCGGATCAAAAAAATTACTATCAACATTAGACTGGACAAAAATTGAACAAGATTCTGTTATACAAGCTATAAAATGGAAGCTCAATGCTAGGTGCATTGTGCCGCTGCGTGGTGGGGTGGATTTTGGGAACGGTTAATTCGAATTTTGAAGGAATTATTGAAAAGAGTATTAGGCAAGTCATCTGTGACATATGAAGAACTTCAAACTATACTTTGTGATTGCGAAGCGACGTTAAATGGACGGCCTTTAACTTATATCGAAGATAAGAAAAGTAACTCGTTAGAACCTTTAAAACCCATACATTTTTTACAACACATACTGCAATCTGATGTCACAGATTTAGACGAATTAGACAGAAAGAGTTTATGTAAATAAAAGATTGAGATTTATAATATTTCCGACAAAGGTTTAAAACTGAATATTTGACTACATTGGTTCAGAAAGGTAAAAAGAAAACAAACGACTTGAAAATAGGTGACGTTGTATTGATCGATACTGATAAAAAAAGGATTAAATAGCCATTTGGTGTGGTAACAAATATTTTCACAGGTCGAGATCAGGTTTGGAGAACAACTCAACTAAAAACTTCAACAGTATTGAAGATTCGACCTTTCCGAAAACTATATCAATTGGAAGTTAGTGATCCTTCGGTAGTATTGTCTTATCCAAGGACGGAGAATGGTGATAGTAATATAGAGGTATCGAGGTCGGTAGATACTCGTAATGTTATTCCTACTTCTACACAGGTTGAGCAGACTACTCGTACGGGTCGACACATAAAGATACCAAGTAGGTATTTGTTGTAAATGTTTAGATATGTTTTTTTTTATTTTTCAAATATTTTATTTTGACTATATGTCAATAATATGCATATATTATTGACATATATATACAGTCAGCCTCATATACTGGTACCTACAATTATTGTGAATGTTATGAATTGTTTTTAAATTAATGTAATTCTACAGTTATAATATATAATTTGATTAATTAATTATCTTCTGGTGTGGAAGATGTTAATAACTCTTTATTTCATATAAGGAAAATATAAATTTGAATTTTAAGTTCCTTGTCATCTCTAAAACAATAGGAAATAAAGGACTAAATTTAGACTTCAGTGTGAATATATTAACATATTTTGCTTTTCTCTTTTATTGATGCCCTATCTATATATATATAGGGTTTGCTGTATTGCCTAATTTATCAAGCAGGTAACTAAATGTGAAATAAAATAATAAAAGGCATAACGCCATAGTATAGAACAATGATTTGTCATATATTGAATATAATTTTATTGTAATTGCATGCTTTTAGCAGGAAAACTGACAGAAATTGGTTGTAATTTGTAATGCTATCAATTAGATGAAAAATGCATGCATTTTATAGAAGTAACAGAGTTTTATTTCAAATACTTGCAGACCTTACTTCCAAATGCATACAGAAATGTAAGTGAACTATAATATGTTCACTTGGATTTGTATATTTGTTATTTACATTTTAGTGTGTGTAACGTTTGAGTTTTACTCGATCATAATCAAATCAATCTTTGTAATTTTTTTAATTCATTATGTTTCGATTGCGTCGAAAATCAAGGATAACGTAATTTAGGATGCAGAATTTTCTAGATAATCAAATGATTATTTCCTAATTTAGGTACTATAACTAGATTATTTTAGTCGGATATCTTGTAACAAGGCAGTTAATAACCTGACATCGGTAAAGTTACGGTTAGAAACCAAAATCTGACACTTTACAAGTAATTTATATCTAAATATTTAGATACTATTTTTTATTATACTATTCGACGTATTATTTTTTGAGATAAATAAATTCCGAAGATTAGGTTGAGTTTACGAAAGAACATTTAAATATGCAAACAGATATAATCGTAATTTATTTTGAGTGACATTAAAAATCATTCTTTTTTATATTATGAAATTTAGACTGACTAGTAAGGTAACTGCAACTATCTATTAGATGATACAAACTAATATTATTTTATATCTTGTCTCTTATAGAAAGCAATATATAAATTGTGTTTCATCGATAGAAACAAATAATAAATTAAATAGCACTTACTATGTAAGGCATGCGTCTTGTACGATATTGAAGGCCTATTTATATGCGGATACGAAATAAACACGTCCGTTACAGATGCCAAATTTATGAAGTAATATGCCACTAACATTGAATCAAACAATTGCCTACTTAGTATGTTACTCAGATACAGTACTATGTTCGAGAATAAAACATTATATTCATCAATTTGATTATACCATACTCAATTTATTGTAGACAGTTGTTGCTTGGTCGCAAGTGATGTAAAACTTCTGTCTGTAAAAATAAATTTAAGTGTAAAGATTAGTTAATTTATTTTAAAGCCTAATATAATGAGTACCTAATTGGAGATATTGTTGGATATAACACTATAAATTAAAGATTTTGTAGCATTTTTCAATGGTAAGATTTTTTATAATAATCAAAGTACCCAAGTAATTTGTGTATTTGACAGAATCGAATTGAGAAACCGAATCAAATCTACGGACATAGTGGATCATTTCGGCAACCGGGGAAATTGTGTCATAATAGATACAAGAAGGTAACTAGAGCTGATAATAGTCTTTAAAAATATTTAATATTTTGGATTTTTGATCAAAAAGAATTGCGATGCGCCTTTGACGAATGTAATATGTTATTAGTATTAAATTAGGAATTGTATTCTGGAAAATACAGAATTCAACCTATTATAGGTATTGTGCTGGAAGAGTACACCATAAGAACGTAAACTCAAACAAACAGTATATATTCGTACATATTCGTATTATTTCTACCTTCCCGAAGGATGACTGGTAGAGAATGCCTATAGCATTAAGTCCGCCTTTTATACTATAATTTATTAGTCAATAAAGTTTAAATAAAAAATAAAAATCATCTGCATACATCTGTACCGCCTATAACGTTTTGCTAGTTTTTTTTTATAATTTGAATTCTGAGTTGTACCTACTTAAGAGAGAGGAAGAGAGTAAAATTGCTTATTTATTATTATATCAACATCTTTGTTAGAAAAGTAGTTGCCTCTGGTATTGAAAGTCTTTTACTTATAGAATAGAGTTTTAAGAAAAATATCAATTACTCTACCGATTCAACAAGATATTTTCAGTTTTGTGTACTAGTATATATACCGACATATCTCTATTTGTTTCTTCTACCACGACGGTTCCATTGTACCTGTTTCAGACAGTTCTAATAAGAAATGGCTATTTAGTATCAAGTCCACATTAGTTCAATGGAATGTACTGACGCCATAAATGTGACAAGAGGTGTACTAATATTGAAGTCTAGTTTCTTAGTTAAATACACATAATTATCCTACATAATGACACTTAATAATTGTAACATAATAGGTGACCATTGCTGCACTACTAGCTAAGGACATAGGTCAACTGTATGTCATAGACGTCTAACGTGTAATTAGTGTAACATGCGTAAGCAAATTTGGTATATCATAACATTGAGGAAGATGTAATAACTAGGTATGTCATGTTATGTATTTGTATTCTATTTTGGACAATTGTTTAATATACTAGAAATCCTCATCATCTTTCAGACCTTTTCAGCCACAACATAAACCAATCAACATATAACCTTGAAAGTAAACCGTAAAGTTAGGAAACTCAAAATATTGTATATCAATCACCTACCTTATATTTTAGAAATTAAAAACAGTTACTTTTTCGACTACAGTCCTACTAATATAGCAAGTTGGAAGGAAAGAGAATTGTTAGTGATGTGAAACATTGCTGATCCCATTGCTTGCAATTTGCCATACTTTAATTCCTAGTGACGCGCATACCACATGTAATCATTTGTAAGAAAAATACTATATTTCGTTCCCATTCCAGATGACTCTTATTCTGTAATTTCACTTTTTTTATACTAGGCGAAATGTCACATATACATCCGCGCGTATTTATATCGTATACCGTATCGTATTTAAGGAGTACGGGCGGATATTGACTATAGTGGAAATCTGAGGGGTTTTAGTGGGTAAGAATCACAATTTCTACTCACGGCGATTAAACATCAACGTATGGTGTTTTACAGGACAGCGCTCCTGTAATTTAACCTAATGTAACTAACCATATCAAGTTACTTGGCAGCTGAAATGTAAGACAAAGATTTATTTTATTACTAGCTTTTGCCCGCGGCTTCGCTCGCGTTAATTTATGCCCTTAAGGGTGGAATTTATCAAAATCCTTTCTTAGCGCATGCCTACGCCATAACATCTACTTGCATGCCAAATTTCAGCCCGATCCGTTCAGTGGTTTGGGCTGTGCGTCGATAGATCACTATGTCAGTCACCTTTGAGATATATATATAGATTTTTGGTTTTCAGAATGGCGTGGATTATTTTAACATTAGCCGGAATTCTAGCATCGTTCTGGTTAAGATGGCGGTACAAGAACAGACGAATCATGACAATGGCGAGCAAACTGCCAGGTCCACCTACGCTACCAGGGTTAGGAAATGCTCTGAAATTTGTCTGCAAACCTGAAGGTATTTTTTTTTTAAGTTTATGTTTTGACGAGCATTTTGCTAGGATGTTTGGAAAGGAAAATCATTTTTGCATACAAATTAAACATTTACTATTCATTTATAACATATTGTTTCCTGTTTAAGTGTACATAGAGCTGTATGTTTAGAGAATAAAATAAAATAACTTCATATATGGTTCACTTAAACTGGTAGAATTTTTTTATGGTATAGGAATGGCAAACTATCTGACGACCTACCTGATAGTACGTGGTAACAGTACTCCGATAAAAACTTTAATATGTACGCTCGCGATACCACTCAATTGTTGTCATTCAAGAGGATTAAAACAATTATATGTATGTGTATATTCAATTCAAACACCACGAGCCTGCTTCATAATTTAATTGTAATATATTAGATATAACATAAAAACCAATTATAGATTAGTTACATTACAAAAATTACAATATTTATAAAAATCTTACCAAATGTCTATGTGTGTACTTCTAATACGACGAAATACTGGAACAGCTGATGAGGCATACATACAGGGTACCTCAGAACCTTCGGCAAAGGAACCTAGGTTTGTATCGTTTGCCGAAGGTTGTGAGGTAATCTGTATATAATCTATATTTATTGGTCCAAATATTCTGCTACCTATTTTGTATTATTTTCTTCTGCTGCGGTTTTCATGCAGGATTTCTATGGAAAAAAATTACAATATATATTTAGGGAAATATAATTGCTACAGTGAGGTGATTTCCTGAACCCTGTTCCTTTTGAAGGAAAGGGTCGATGTTTAAAAGCGAGTATGAATGAAAGTGAAATAAAAAGAGACAATTTAATATTTTCTCTACTTTATGGTTGAAACCTGTAACGCACCCTGGTTTATTCGTAACTCGGAGGTTCATCACCACCTGGGGATCAACTCTGTCAAGGAGGAAATCTCTCAAACAATAAAAAAATATAAAATCAAGCTGGACAGACATCCAAATAAACTTGCTGTTCAACTAACATTGCCTGATTATATAGCACGTCTTAAGAGACGTAAAATACCAGACTTCAACAACCTGGCATAAGCTGGAATATCTGAGGCTGGATTCTCAATGGAGAATCACCTCTCACGATATCAGATAGTCAACAAATCTGCTTATAGTCTGGAAGACTGATTGCATGATATAAAAACTATGGTTCGCGTGAAGATAGATTATGATAATATAATATTATTGTTATTATACATAATCTAGCTTCATGTGAACCATAAAGTGCCAGCTCTAAAAAAGCAATAATCTCATAATCTCGTAACCGTCACCTACATATATGTCCAACACTATGGATATCACCTTATAATGATACTTCATCAATATATAGTTATATTATGATGACTCTCATGATACTATTAACGCGTTGCATTTTGATGATGAATATAATGTCTTATACTATTATCAAAATATTAATTTAAATTATTATAGTTTTAAAGTTGTGGGATTTATAAAACCTATTGAAAGATACATTTAGTTTTGTCACTATTTATACGACGAAATGTTTTTGTTTTCAGAATTAATAACAGTGATTAAGGACTTAATGCGCGAGTACGGCGATGTTATGAGGTTCTGGCTGGGGCCTGACTTAAATGTAGTTGTAAGTGACCCGGATTCTATTAAGGTAATGTAACCACGGCTAAGATATAATTACACAGATAACAATTATGTTTTAATTACCTGTAATCTTTGAAAAAAAATAATTAAATTTTTTTTTCTATGCTGTAATTGATAGTCTGGGTGAATTATTGCAAGTCTTTGAATTAACATTTTTCGCATCTATTTACCTATTCTACAATGTATAACCACCAATGTATCACTAGAAGTATGAAACATTTTGGGTCCCACATTAGATAATTGCTACTTGTAGTAAAGAACGTTCTTATGGTATGTTTATACACATCGGTACGACTGTTATTCCAAATAGAATAATCATTTTTAATGGATGATAATTGAATGATGTTCTCATCTGCGCTAACGGTTTACTCTGATAAGGTACCAGTAGAAGATAGTAAGATGAGCATGAGGTCAGAACAGTTAGCGCATCGTGGCAAAATCGGTAGAAATTTATCAAAACGGTTTCCAGGGCGAACTGCGTGGAGGTCAATTTGACATGGTACATAGCTAGCAGTGAGGCTCATCTATCCACATTACTAACAATCCCATTTCCCCCCAATCATTATTTATACACAGGTATTGTCAACAATCAATGTTGCGCTATTAACACAATTAGTTGATGTAGCTGTGTATATTTAAATCCTACGTGGCAGGGGGCAACACTACTGATGTAATATGTACAAATAGTAGTATACTCACATATAATGATATAACATACAAATGTACGACTCCAATAATAAACACAAGACAAAAATATCTAAAATGTTGATGATAATGACTTTGCATTGATGAATTATAATTCGGATGGTGATAATATATAAACATTTGCAGATAATCCTTACAAATAGTAAGAACAGTTACAAAGGTCCACAATATAAATTTATGGCTCACGTACTGGGAGGTGGAATACTAAGTGGATCAGGTAATGCAAATTTTTATAATTAGACTTCCTACAAAGTCTGGCTGTTGGTGCCTCTGTTCTTGTTTCAAACACTATGTCTCTATTGACGTGTGCAATATGGCAGTAATATTACAGGATACTGAAGTAGAGCTGAGAGCTTAGCCCTCAAGAGTAGCAACGTATGAGGACCGCAGCTCATGGTGCTGTTCATATATGCCGCTTATTGACAGTTTATTTACTACTCCACTTAGATAAATTCTAAAATACATTTAAAAATATGTTACTATTTTACCTCATGAACTGTGAAAAATAAAAATAGTTAACCGATCTATGATACAATGAAAATTTGTTGCTCTTAATTCTCATCCATGATTGTACAAACACAGAGCAATTATTTAGCTATATATTAAACTACAATTACTGTTCTGTTCTGTGGTTGTCCTTTATCAAATATCTATATATACTTAATAAAAAAATACAAATATTTTTAATTTAAGTATTACCTATATTTAATTTTTTGTGTTTTAACAGACTCAGATCCTACTCCTACCTAGCATACTCAGACCTCTAGCAAATTCTGTTATATTTTAGGTATTACTCCTTTATATTCGTAATTATTGTATGATAAACTATTTTACAGGTCCCTCGTGGAGAAAACACCGCAAGGTCGCCAACCCCAATTACGGGAAGCGAGCTATTGAGAGCTATGAGGCTGTTTTTAATCGTGAAATAGATCATTTCATGATAAAGATAAGATCTTTTCCAGTAGACCGACAATTCGATATATATCCGTATATTGTAAACACTACGAGTTATGTAGTTTGCCGTAAGTATGAGTATCTAATATTCTCTTGTCTGTGGAATGAACAACATTGTTGCCTATAGGCATTTTAATCTATTAAAATGTCTATGTAATTTAGCAACAAGGGTTTACATATGCGGAAAAATTGTAGACTGTATAAATATTTAATTGCTAATTGCTTTTAATTCACATTGCTGGTGAACAAAACTAAATACTAACAAACTAACAATGTATTGACGGCCTCGGTGGTTTAACGGTTTAGCACACCGCCCTAATTCCGATAGTCGCGGGTTCGATCCCTCGCAAGGCACAAACATTTGTATTCATGAGTATGATTGTTAGTATCCGTCTGTGTGTTTTCTATGTCTAATATGTAAGTATTTACGAAAATACATATATATATATATATATATATAAATATATATTTGTATCAGTTGTCTAGTGCCCATAACATACCTAAGCTTTAACATTAATTCGTGCGGTGCAGTAACAAAGTAAAACAGTGCCGTAACATTGGTCTACTACAAATCTTATCATTTTTAATTTTATTCAATCTGATATTTTAAATCTGGAAAATTAACAAAAATATCCATCTAACAGTTTACAGTGCGAAGAGAAATTAAAAATAAACTTGAAACCATTCTAAAAAAGAGAGAACTATTTGCTATAATTATACTATTTATGAGTTATTGCTTATAATAATGTTCATCTTGACTGTTCTCTTGCAGAAACATTAATGGGTCTAGAGAAAGAACAAACCATGAACTTACCTCATATACATTCTATCATAGACATGACGCCACCGTAAGTATTGTCTGTTACAATTTTGACAGTTTTTTCATGTTAAATAACGATTTTTTTTGGCGCATCGTGGCTTAGTAAGTTATATACTGCCCCGAACCACAGGTAGTAGGGTCGAATCTGACAGACAGCAAACAGCCAACTGATATAACAAATTTATATTTTTAGTTTATTCTCCGGCGATAGAAACATCGTTAACAGACCAAATTAATCTTAAAAGATTGCCATGCAACGTTACGTGTTTTATTTACCATGATCTCGACAGTTATCCATACCTCTAAGTTCCCCATTTGGTATAACTGTGGAGAGTATATGTTTATTTATTTTTCCAGACTATACGACATAGTTTTTGATAGAATGACTAAATGGTATTTACAAATAGAACCCATATTCTTAATGACAAAAGAGTATCAACTGCAGAAACAATTTATTGCAATGATAACCGACTTTAGTACTAAAATAGTTGAACATAGACTAGAAATGTTGAAGAATTTACAAAAGGACGAGATGAATTTGATGAATTCCGAAGAAGACTCTTTGAGAAATACTGAACTAAGCGTCATAGATAGATTTATATTATCTCAGGAATTGAATAGACAGGAATTATTAAAAGAAACATTCACTATTTTCACATCTGTAAGTGTTTTGAGTAAATTATACCTAGATATATCTACTTATTTTAAACTAGCTGTTACCATTGATTTGGTCTGTTTTTTTAGAGGTAAAAGATTGCCTACGTCGTTACTTGTGATATATGTTCGTGAAATTTCATTTAAATCCGTTCAGTCGTTTAGTACTGAAAAGGTTTCAAACAGACCGCCATATTTTGTATTTAAAATATTGGTACAGATGATCTCTTATTATTTATATATATTTGCACAATAATGTCACGAATGACTTTGAGTTTAATACAATATTTTCCTCGATATAATCTCTATTTTGCTATGTAATATTATCTTATCTATGCTATTAAAAACAATAGAACATGAGTATTTAAAATTCTTGTATTAGGTTTATTTGAGTAAAGATTAATTCTATTTCTATAAGCAATTAGTTAAACAGACGTTCTTTTGTGCCAACATCATATATCCAAAAATAAATTATTAAACTAACTATGGCCGAACAATTATAAAATACAGTATATTATTATCCATCTGCTAAATATCTTCAAAATTGTATAACTTAAATTAAATGACATTATTTCAATTTAATGCTTTTGTATTATTTGATCGATATTATATTAATACGTCAGAACATTATAACTTGTCTTTAACATTTCAGAGCCAGGAGGCCTCAGCAAAAATATCATCATTTGCCTTATTGATGATGGCGTATCATCCGGACTGTCAGGTACTTTTTTGAAACTCATATGACCAACTAATATAAAATTATTCTGTCCGTCATTTTTTACTGTAACTGTGTTTAAAAACCTCGGATATCTATATAAAGATTAACACTAAATGACTCATAAAAATTAAAACTGTTAAATTATTTTTATTTTAAAGTAAATAAGGAGCAATCTAAATAAAGTAAGGTCGTGGGAGTTTAGCATACTGCTTTTCTTGCGATAGTTTGCATCCTCATACGATACAAACAAAAAATGTATGAATGACTATGATTTTTTGTACCAGTCTATACGTTTAATGTGTACCTATATTATGCATTTAAGTATATTTATTAATTGTCTAGTACCTATAACACAAGTTTTGCTTAGCTTAGAACTAGATGGCGCTATGTGAATTGATCGGGGTTATTGTCGATATAATTATTATATTCACTGTATTATAAAGCCTAATCTTATTTTGCATGATATAAAAAGTTGTAACCTGTAGTCTATATTTATGTTTTTGTTAAAATTATGTTCCAGGAAAAACTATATAAAGAAATAAAGACTGTTATCGGTGATGAAGACCGACATGTCACTGGTGAAGATTTGAAACAAATGCCATACTTAGAAATGGTTTTTAAAGAGGTGCTACGTCTTTTTCCAATTGGAGCTATGTTGCAACGGACAGCCTCCGAAGATATAGTCTTAGGTTAGCATATTACAAGCATAGGTATATTAAACTAACTTTAGTGTTAATTTTCCAAAAACTTCCTAGAATTCTATATAGCTGAAATTACATAACATAGACATTAAATATGTAAGATATGTATGTGCTGGTAATAATTGGATGAGGCGTGAAATACGAAGGTCTGATATTGGATGAGTAAAGACAATTATAGGACCTCTATAGGAAAAGAATGTAGACTTATTGAGATTTTTTGGATTTATTTTGTAGAGTATTCAGGGTAACAAGAGAGGACAGGTGTTTATTGTACTATAATAATTTATTTCCTCGATCTTCTAGATTCGGGCGTAATTCCAGCAGGATCATCGTTAGTAATTCCCATTTATCACATTCACCGAGATCCACGGTTTTGGACGAGACCGGAAGATTTCGATCCTGAGAGGTTTAGTCCAGAAAATTCTAAATTACGTCATGCAAATTGCTACATACCCTTCAGTTTGGGCCCAATGGATTGTTTAGGTGAGCTTTTAGTGGAATTAAAAAAACAAAAGAAACAAGCAAATGTTTCTATCATAAAATTTATATACAATATTAAAATATTGTAATGAATATATAATACATAGGTATACAATATGTCTTTACTACTACAATACAACCGAAATATAGGTACCTACATTATATATTTCGATGACAGTTCTTATAAGCGATAGACTTTATTCCTCCTAATGGTATAAATTATAATATTATTTGTATATATTTCGCTTTTTTTTCTCTGTGGCGTGGCGTATTTACTGTCCATTATTATGATAGAATTGAATTATTAAATCAAAATGCCTGCATTATTTGCTTTCAGGGAGATATTTCGGAACAAAACTAATAAAGACAATAGTTGTGAGAGTTCTCCGCGAATTCGAAGTGACATCTTTAAATACTTATAGAGATCTACAACTGACCATAGCCATATCTACCGCACCCGTCAATGGATTCGACCTCATGCTGAAGCCAAGAGAATGAGTAAAATAATTTAAACACACACATTATCTCTATTACTAATTACGTAGAGTTTATATACATTGATATTTTTTAAATTTTTTATTCTAAATTTCCATAGCTAAAATGGCGCGAAAAATGAGTTTTTTCGGTCAAAAAAGAACAAAATGAACATTGTTTTCAGATTAATTTAGTAATTGTTAAATCCAGCAATTCTGAATAAAATAAAAATGAATGATATATTCGTTTTTTTTCTATACAATAAACCTGCTGAAGTACTTTATGATAGTTTGTAACCGTAGCCTCTGAACATAATGGACATCGTGCGTTTCATTATGATCGAAAACTACATAACTGTATGTGCTGATTTCTTAATAGATAAACATTAACAAAAAAAAAGTCAGTACGATCACAGCTTGGACAATATTGTAAGATCAAAACGACTGAGCAATATCCACTACTTTATAATGAGTACTGTAATATGCACGGTAACAACCTATGTAACGATGTAAGGCCGACAGCTGTCGGCTTATGTACTTATTACAAAAATGGATTATCCGTATTTCGTCAAAAAATAATTAAATCACTTACTTTCAGTTATATTTTTTAAGTTTCTTATATTTTAACCTTCTTATAATATAGCCTTAAATACGTCTAAATATTATCAAGTCTAAACAAATTAAACTATAAATTTACTGTAACAAAAATTCAGTAGTACTTACTCAGCAAAAAGCACAACAGACATCACTAAATGTCATTTAGTTATAAAAAACATTTTGTCGAGATGCTTACCCAAAAATAAAAAAACGGCAACCAATCTAAAGCGCGTTGCTTATCCCCGTGGTCAGGTTCAGTACATATAAAATAAAAAAAACGCTTGCCTTCTTTCATGTTTATTTTTGGCCAACCACTGCTTAGCCCGTATGGACACAACATAGTTTTGTATATATTAACATATAGCCATCTTACTGCGAAGTAAACTATGTACTCCACAGACAGGGAGCAAGGGCATTGTCAGTAAAGTGGATTAATAACCGCATTGCTAGCAATGTACCATGTCAGGTTGACCTGACGTGGTTCCTCCTGCAAATCATCATGTTAAATTCCTGGTGAATTTGCTACGATGGGCTAACTGACTTGACCTCATATTCATGTTTTCATCCTCCATTTGTGCACGTTAGCGCAAGTATGTAATATTATATTATCTGTGGCGCAGGGGAATGCACATTCCACTACCAAGATGGTAGTGGAATGTGCATTTGCCTGCGCCTTAAAGAAATCCCTCAAACTGTATAAGAATAAGGGTGTTATTTTTTTAATTGTTAACGGGGATCAGTAGACATTGTTATCAATGCCAAGGCGACCTCCACCCAGTCCCTCCTGGAAATAATTGTAGTTAATTCGTAATGATTTTACCAAGATGGAGACTTAATTTCTCACTTCAATGTATCTTTCATTTCGCCGTGGTGCCCAGCCAGAGTTTGCTAGCTGTATTCTATAAAAAAAACAGTGGAATCATTTCATGTTGGTGGAGTTGGGTCAGACTTTACCACCCATATAACGAAACCGGATATCGGAAACCGGAAATATTTCAGAATTCATACCACCCATTTACATATATATTGATTTAAACAGGTAGGTAATAGAATTCTATGCAAAAAACGTTGTTTTAAAAAGTAAATCAGCGTTTAATATTTGTTGTTACGAAACTCTAAAAATATAACAGCAGATATGTATACCTACTCATATTTTGTCAGAAATGAACGTGTAAAGAAAGATGATTTGAATATAATGCTAACATATGCTAATAGGTATTACTGAAAAAAGAAAGGTCGAGGTGATGAAGAAGTACGACAAATATTTTGAAATATAATACCACAGTTAATACTAAAAGTGACAAATTGCACAATTCTACCGAAGTGGACTTTGTACAAAGTCATCTGCCTGGGTATGTATAGCCTGGGTACCTCTGTCTCTAATTTATTTATGTTAGTGTCATACTTGGAGGTGCAAGAAAAACAAAAAAAATAATCCCCATATATGGCACTAATTAAGTTAAGTTAGGTTAAGTTTCGTTTAATTGTATTACCTCATCAGTAAATTCCCGCCCTAAGAGGCTAACAACCCAGCTTGCCCACGAAGTTGATGCCGGGGCAAAGGATTCGCCCCATGGCCGAAAATTTCACCCTAGGAGGTGTAAATGACCAGTGTCAGTCACATAGGAGACAATTGTCACTTACCATAACGTGGGTCCTTCAAATATTTACTTAATAAAATAACCTTTTCTCCTGGTCAGTAATAATTGTGTTTTAATTTATTTATTCCCCCATATATCCATTAAACTTTCCACTACCTACGAGTATCTTAACTATTAAAGAACCTATATTGTAACTTTCTTGCAATTAAAATAAAAATATTCAACTACGAAAGAGAATCACATTTCAGTTCTATATCAAATATGGATTTATATATGAATTTGATGTTATTTATTATATGGGAATAATTAATTCAGCATGCCGTAGCTTTATACCGTAGATGAAATTAAAAAGTACCTTTATCCATCTTATCTGCTCATCTAAGGCATAATAGTATAACGACAATAAAAATATATTATCTAAACAGTGAATGGAGCTGTTACGCGACACGGTACAAAATTTTAGCTGCAGTGAAATAGATCAAATATTCGTTCAAAATACGAGGATATATGAGGATGATGCCGTACGCGTTTCTTTTTTCGCGGTGAAAATCCATAGGCAAACCATTAGCAATTGAAAGAAAGAGCGGACTCCTATCAGCTAAAAACCCATGGCATTTTTCCTCTCCACATAAGCCCGCGGAGCATTCTTCCGTAGTCATGGCAGGAGATGCCCACATGTCCTCAACGCGTGAAACTGCCGCCCACAGAGACCCTCTACAAGATTAGTAGAGTTAGTGTAGGAGAAAGCCTCTAATGCGCGCTTGACTGTTAGCAATAAAAATATAAAAGTAATCTTTATTAATATTTGTAATAATTATTTAATCACATACCTACATTCAGCTTAATAAAAACGAATAAATTTTTATCATTCCTATACAACTCATAGTACCTACCAATACTTTCAATCATTGGTAGGTACATTGGGCACAATAAAAAACAAATGATATTTTAAGGAGTTATTGTAGATTCATTGGCATAATAACATTTAATAATTAAAAATATTACAAAATAATATCTACTATAAGTTGTTCATATTACTGTTGTAGAAACTTGAGCATACTTTGTTGGCAACACTGATAGTCAGTCCGTTCGGCACGGAGCTATCTGATACATATTATTTTTATTATACTTTTTAATTTTTCTTTGATATAATCGAATTTCAATATAACTGTTTAAATTTATCTGTTCACCTTAAAATTGGTCTATTTTATACATTAAATAATGGCATCGTTTTCTCGTTTCAACAAATTTGCTTTATTAAGTTTGGGTGCAGTTGGTGGAGGGTTAGCCTATTATCATATTAATAGTGGCAAAAATGAGAGAAAATTTGATGTGCACAACTCATGGACTACAAATTTCACACCTAGTGTTAAATGGGAGAAGAATTGGGATCAGTGAGTAGTACTTGTACTATTTTTATGTATGAAAGTATCCCGTCCATATGTTTAATTAGGTTATGTTTTTTTTTACTAAAAGTACGTTAAATTAAAATTTATACATATAAAAAAATATTATTAAGAAATCTCCCGTACATTGTAGTTTATTTTAAACTGAATTGTTTAATGTTATTATTTATTTACACATTTTTATTTCTTTACATCCTTTATTTATTGAAATAAGTAACTTTTATGTATGCAGTAAGTATATTTATGTACCCATATAAATAAGTTATTTGTACATTTATATTATACTATAAAATTACTTGATTAACTTTGTTAATAATAATTTGTCAAATGGAAAAATTGATAAGTAGGTATTATCATTATAAAACACTTTAAAGCATGTTAATGAAGTGTGCTAACTTGTTTGTTACAGCCGGGAACCAGAGTCAATAGTGAAACCTATAAAGAGTGATAAACCTGAAGAACAGAATCGTTACAATGAACAGATTGAAAAAGCAAAGAAAACTAAAGCAGTACGACATCTGTTCCTTATCAGACATGGACAGTACAATGTTGATGGTGCTACAGATGCTGAAAGAACACTAACTGACTTGGGTAAGGATGTGTTTAAATTAATTATTTTTATTTCCACACCATCCATCTCCTCACCTAACCGACATCTAAAAATTTTTAATGAAATGACATCTCACTGGATGTGACTTATCTCCTAATGCCCATAGCAACACAGAATCTGATTATAGCTAGAAGGGTTGATTTCAGAACATATAGCAGCATAAGTGCGATATAGAATGCTTCAATACTGGTTAAATATTACTGAGATAAGTTTTAATAGTTGTAATTGTATTGTACACATTTAAATATTATTAACTACTTATATATCCATTTTGAAAGTTATTTATAGAGTTATACATTAAGTATAAGAAAGAGATGTTGCTCTAATAAGAGAAGGGCTACTTAGATGGGATAAAATAAGCCAGTTATATAATGGTCTCCTACAGACCTGTTATTTGTTTTGACTGATGGACTGTAGCTGTATTTGTCTTATAGTAATACATATAAGGACACAGTACAGGACTAATAAAAATATATATTTAAGGAAAATAAGATAACACACAATGTAATGTGTTTAAACAAGGACTAATGTGTAAATATAAACAAATTGATAATAAGCAAGATAGGAAAGACAAAAGTATATAATTATCTATTAATATAGTTTCCTTTCCATAGTCATTCATCATTGTATTCCAAAATAGGCCCCCTACTTCAATCAGCTGTTCCAAATTTAAATTATTTCAGGCAGAATACAAGCTGACCTGACTGGACAGAGATTAGCAAGTCTCGACATCAAATGGGACTTGTTAATCCGGTCTACTATGACTAGGGCACAAGAGACTGCAGCCCTTATTGCCAAGCATCTGGACAAGAATTTAGAGACTAAAGACTGTCAGTTGATTGAAGAGGGTGCTCCAATACCCCCAGAACCACCTGTGGGACATTGGAGGCCAGAACCAAAAGTAAGTTTGTGAATTTGTTATGATATAAAATCAATCTTATTATTATAATCTGCATCAGTAAGTCTACCTCTCCTATTTTTGGTGCAACTTGCATTGGAAACTATTTTTCCATTAGAAGGGTGAGGGTATGGTAGTGAAATTACAAGGTAAGAAGTCATGACACTATAGTCATTCAGAATGGCAATGCGTGAGGTATTAACATGGCCATCTATGGTATAGCTATGTGATGTTCATAATGCTCTTCATATACCATGATGGCCATTTACCATCCAATGGGCCTTCACCATGTTAGCAATACCAGTTACATAAAATCAGCATTGTCCATAGTAATTACAATCAGTGATAAGCAATTTGAATTTTCTCTGAAAGTACAGTAAAGTTTACTTAGGGGTTTTATATAATGTTGTGTAATTTCACTGCCATAAAACCAAAAAACATCACCTATTGAATAATAAATACAGTAAAAACGTCCCTTTGTGCGATAGTGCAACATTATATATATTAATGTTGAAATATACACAACATGGAAAAATTAACCTAATTCTTCTAATGATGTCAAAAAATATGAATTAGTTTTAAACTGGTATTGTCTAAATAACTAACAAACTTGTGCTTGTTTATGTAATGTAGTTGATATTATTTCCTTTAGTAACTATATATGATATTTTATTGTTCATTTATTATATAGTAAATTCGACGAGGTACCAAGGTAGGTTTGGTTTTTAATTGCTTGATGGTATATGCTTTAACGAAACTCATTACTAGAATTCACTTTGAGTACTGACCAGTTTTGCATTTTATCACCTTACTGTTCCTTTAGCAGATAGTTTGTTTTATCATTATTTTTCGCATGATTTTATTTATTAACTGCATTTTTAGTTTACAACATTTCAACAAGTTATATGAACTATAATATAAACATCATGGTTTAAGTTCTATGAAACAATTTAAAGGATTAACAAAAAATATAAACAAAGAATTAAATTCGTGTTAATTTTGTCACGAAATTCCTAATTCTGAATTGTCACTTTAATAGAATCAGTTTCAATGTACAATGCTAAGTTTAAGTATAGCATTTCTTTTTTCGGATTCCATAAACGATCATAGAAGAGCCACATACTATATTTAACTAGTGGCGGCGCGGGTGAAATAAATATTGTTTGATTTTGATTTAAGTGGACTGTATCTAAATAATCTGACGGGTACGTGGATTGACACGATACACTGTTAGGTTGGTGATTGAGAACTGCTTGTGAGGATGGAACACAAAGAAAGACAGTTCTGGTAAGGAAGGAGGCACAGTACCTTTGAATTGTAGGTTGCAGTGCGGCGGCTATCGGTGTCTCCAGGTCCCAGCTACTTGCTTCACAACAATGGCACAAACACAATGGTCTTAAACACACTAGAGCGATGCGGTGGATTAAAATGTTTAGTAATTATCACGAATTACAAAAAAACTTGATCTTAAGCGCGATCAAGGCGGGAATTCAAATGTCAACTTCAGCGTTCAATTTTACAGTGACGCGCGAGCGCGATATGTCACTTTCGATACAAGCGAATCTTCTCGCTCGCACTTAAAACAAAGGTATGTGCGGGAATAGGAGAGGATAAAGGAATTAGTGTAGTGCCAATCCTTAGAAAATTAACGTTTCGTACCACGCTAAATTATTTATTTGAACAAACTATTACTAATAATAATTATACAATGATAAACAAAAATGTAATGTTATATGGCGCAACCATTCCCCCCGCCTTGAAGGGACGCCTTCAAAGTAAAAATAGAAACTTAAAATAAACTAAACCTTAACCTAGAACTCGTATTAACTAAAACTAATGTCTAGGTAAGGGGCACAGACGTACAACCGGGCGCAAATAAGAGCCGGTTGCAGTTTTTACACGAACAACCCGAATTACGCCGTCAGAAGCCGGAAAGACCTCTTCAATAACCCCTAAAGGCCAATGAAGTGGTGGCGCGTTTTCAGTACGTACAATTACAACAGTTCCGACAGTCATCTGATTGACGGGCGTATTCCATTTTTCGCGAGATTGTAATGTGTGCAGGTACTCCGTTCTCCATCGCTTCCAGAACGTTTGCACTAATCTGTCTAATAATGCGTGGCGTGAAATCAAAGAACTGTCAGCTATTTCTGCGGCGGGCAAATATTTCAACGGAGTAAAATTTAAAATATGTGCGGGTGTTAATAATTTTGCGAAACGACAGACATAAACTACGCAGCGAAGAAGCTTGGACCAAGAAGAAAAGCGATTTGCCAGAGCGATGAAAACCGATTCTTCTGGCGGTGTACGAGTAACAAAGGAGAGTTTCTTCTCCTCAGGCGGGTCCATAACAGCAGAAGGATTGAAAGTGGTGACTGGCCATTCCGAAAAGGTGGATTTAGCCCACTGCGGGCCGTTGAACCATAGGGGGTGGTGAATTATTTGGGCAGGAGTAAGCCCTCGCGATAGACAGTCGGCTGGATTGTCCGAACCAGACACGTGATAAAAATTGTGCGGTGAAAGCAGAGATTGAATTTTAGAAACTCTATTCGCGACAAAAGTATCCCACCTGTGGGGCGATGCGTGGATCCAACATAAAGCAACTGTTGAATCAGAAAATGCGTGTATTGCCTTAATTGGATAGCGGTTGTTAACAGCGGTAACAATATTATTAATTAAATTAGCGAGCAAAAGCGCTGCGCAAAGTTCGAGTCGGGCCAACGACACGACCTTGCGGGGTGCAACCTTAGATTTTGCACTTATAAGATGCACAGTACTCACACCATCATTCTCGACGTGGAAGTACACAACAGCACCATAAGCCTTTTCACTAGCGTCTGCGAAGCCAATGATGTTCACCACACTACGTTTTGTGATGTCAACATGGCGCTGTAATTTAATTTGATCTAGACTGGGGAGCTCATCCCTGAAACGTGACCATTGTCTGACGATAACTTCAGGGGGGGCGTCGTCCCAATCGCAGTTGCATAACCATAACTCTTTGACAAGAAGTTTGGCAAATAATATAACGGGTGCTACGAAACCCATTACATCCCACAATCTTGCGACACAAGATAAAATGGTGCGTTTTGTACACTTTTCAGCGGGCGTGCAAATTTTTAAACTAAATAAATCTGAGCTAGGAGACCAGCACAGACCCAGAATTTTATGCGTATCAGACACATCGAATTCTACGACCGACGAAAGTCGATGTGTTGACGGAATGGAATTTAAAACTACTTGCGAATTGCTCGTCCATTTGACAAGATCAAATTGTCCGGCCTTCATGAGTGAGATGATCTCAGCAGCTGTGACGATAGCCTCATCTTCACTATCTAGACAATATACTAAATCATCCATGTACAGACCGGTGTGAACCGCTTCCTTAGCTTTTGGGAACGATTCGCCTTCGTCGGTGGCTAACTGCTTAATAGTACGCAGTGCAAGAAACGGACTCGATTTGAGTCCAAAACAAACGCGATTAAACTGATAAACCTGGAGAGGTTCGTCAGGCGAAAATCTATACAATATGCGTTGAAATCTGCGGTCACTCTCTCTAATACGAATGCAAAGAAACATTTGCCTAATATCGGCAGAGAGAGCTACTGAAAATAATCTGAAGTTAACTATAATATCAAATAAATTGCGTTGTAAATTCTGTCCATTATAAAGAAGATCGTTGAGAGATACGGACGTGCTAGTTTTAGCGCTAGCATTGAGTACGACGCGCAATTTAGACGTGAGTTTATCCTTTCGAATAACTCCATGGTGCGGTATTATATACGAAGGAGCATTACTATCATCATTAACGGGTGCGGGTGAAATATAACTCTTATCTAAATACTCCGTAATGACGTCATCATAGGCTTGCTTGAGTTCAGGCGAAGCCTGCATTTTGCGTTCGAGACAAAAGAAACATTTCTCGGCTAATCGACGCGAGTCGCCAAGAGAATGTGCATTACCCTTGAAGGGAAGCGCGACGGTATAACGACCGTCGTCCTCGCGAGTGGTAGTGCCAGCATAAATAGCTTCACACTCCTTGTCGTCCGGGCTGAGAATCGGTGCAACATTCACCTCTTCCATTTCCCAGAATCTACATAGAACGGATTCCATCGTGGGTTCGGTAACACAACAATGCGCGGTGGTAGTGTAATTACAATTATCTAACATATTAGACACGGAAGTATCGGTATTTGATCTAGCGGGAGCTGAACCTACAATAACAAAGCCTAATACAGTCTCAATAGCATACGGCGAGACGTATGCGGGTTGACCTTTAACCTTACGGGACAATATTAAATGCGGGAAAATTGAGGCACCGATTAACATGTCAATGTTCCCAGGAGTAGCGTAACTATCATCGGCTAAAGGCAAATTTTTAAAATTTGAAAATAATGAAATATCGACACTAACAGTCGGTAAACGTTCGGTTATTTTATCTACAACTAAGGATTCCATATCAAATTTAATATTACGATTAAACCGTGAAAAGAATTTTATATGTACAGAACCCTGTGTGGCCTTTGTTGTCCCTCCTATACCTTTAATCGAAAAGGTTGTATTCTGTATACATTGCAATCCCAAGCGATTACAACAATCCCTAGTTACAAAATTACTTTGAGAAGCACTGTCCAATAATGCTCTAATATAATGTTCGTTACCGTCTCTATCGATCATTAAAACACGAGCGGTGGCTAACAATACTGTAGTAGGTACGCGAGGCATATTTTTATTAACATTGTCTGATAACGTGCATAATGCTACGTCTTCCGATGCGCGGGATACGACGGGTGTCGGCGGGGGTGAGTGCGGGGCGCGGTCCGTGCAAGGAGACGGTCGGCCGCCGCCGCCGCCACCAACAGCGGGCTGCGTGTGCGACGAGTGCGACGATAGATCCACTACGCGTGACGTAGTCGCTGTGACCGAACTACCACTGAGTATGTTCGCGGTGGAGGTGGCATTACTATGCTCAAAGTGGAGCATAGTATGATGTTTTGAGTCACATTTGTGACATCGACTATTTGAGTTACAATTAAATACGCGGTGATTTTTACTTAGACAATTAATACAGTAGGAATTAGATTTAACAAATCGGAAACGATCATTAGGCGTTAAATTTCGAAAACCTGGACATTTATATAAATGTTCATGTTTTATGTTACACAATGAGCACTTAGGCTGCGGATTAGCGGTTGTAGTATAAGAGTATGTAGATTTATGTTGCATAACTTTCGATGCCGCATCCATACGACGATCGACAACTTTCTTAGTAACTTCTTGGTTGCTTGAAGAAGTGCGTTGCAATATTTTAATGTGATCGCGCACAAATGACACTAATGTATCGAAAGATGGGATGTCGGATCCCCGTTTATCTAGTTCGAAAGCGCGGGCGGTTTCGGAATCTAATTTCTTTAACGCGGTATACAAAAATATAAAATCCGAAAGATTATTAATTTTTAAGTTATTTAACGCGGATACTGAAGTTGCGAATTTATCGAGAAATTGTTCTAAATTATTTATATTTGATGAATGAAAGGGCTTCATTTCGAATATTTGATCTAGGTATGATGATGCGAGCAGTCTCTTATCTTCATACTTACTAATTAAAGCATCTAAAATGACCTTATAATTTTCAGAACAAGGGTTTATACCGGCAAATACAGAACGAGCTTTACCTGTCAGTTTACCCATCAAATAATGTAATTTTTCCGAATCTGACAATCTAGGATTGTCATGAACTATGCTTTTGTAAGCTGTATAGAATAAAGACCAGGATCTCAGATCTCCTGAGTATTCCGGAATTGGTAGGGGGCAGACGAGGCCTGTCCTCATCCCTATTATGCTGATGATGTTTGACATCAGGCGGTACCTCTAGCGATCTTGCGGCTCGTTTTATACGGCAATACAAATCATCAAATGCCATGAGCGGTTGATAATTAATAACATATTTAGGATTCAATTTAGATTCTAAAGTATTTATTTTATCTAACATAGTTTCGAAATCCGAGCGTAATTTGTCAACTGTTTCGATCTCACACAAGAATGTTTCTCTTTCATATTCACTAGAAAGATTATGAGTCCTATCTGTAATACTTTGTATGCGAGAAAACATTAAATCCTTTTTAGCGAGTAACAGGGGTAACTGATTGACATCCGACATGATGAACAACCTATAAATACAAAAACTTGTTTGTACTAATAAATATATAAGAAAGCGGTGCGGTGGAGAACAGATAAATACCTACACAAGTTACGTGCGGTGCGGTACGGTACGGTGCGGTGCGGTGCGGTGCGGTGCGGTGCAATGAGAGCCGGCAGTACACAATGTACTTACAATTAAAATACGAAATAATAAACCACAACGTACTCGTGATAAGAATCTGTCAAATATTTATATTAAACAAAGCGATGTCTATTTATTACAGCGTAAGCAATGTCTTGTTTATTACAGCGAACTAAATTCAAAGTCTATGCCGCTAACCTATTCAATAGTAGACCGGTAGAAAGCGATAATATTAAGCTATAATATCGTATGCGTCTCAGCCTACCCTAAGGGGGCCTGAGGATATCAATATGTAGGTAGATAGACTACCTACAATGGCGCGAAAGTAATTGATAACTACGAATATAAATGCGGTGACTACAAAAATAAAGTTGTTTTACCTATAGTTAGGTTAAAACAATGCGGGAGTATTACAACAAATCGTAAATACCTACTATTACTTACGATGCGAAATTGAGTTGACACGGAATTTGATATGAATCTATCAGGTAGTTGTACCTACATGTACCTACGAGATTCTAGAAACATCGATATAACGAAATAAAGAAAATGATGTAGTAAAATACAAATTAATTGTATGCGTTTGTACGAAATATACCTAGAAATAAAATATCTAGTGTGGTTTAACCAAATAATTACAATATTCGGCTCGAAATGGACCACTAAAATAATGGCGGCGCGGGTGAAATAAATATTGTTTGATTTTGATTTAAGTGGACTGTATCTAAATAATCTGACGGGTACGTGGATTGACACGATACACTGTTAGGTTGGTGATTGAGAACTGCTTGTGAGGATGGAACACAAAGAAAGACAGTTCTGGTAAGGAATTATATAGGAGGCACAGTACCTTTGAATTGTAGGTTGCAGTGCGGCGGCTATCGGTGTCTCCAGGTCCCAGCTACTTGCTTCACAACAATGGCACAAACACAATGGTCTTAAACACACTAGAGCGATGCGGTGGATTAAAATGTTTAGTAATTATCACGAATTACAAAAAAACTTGATCTTAAGCGCGATCAAGGCGGGAATTCAAATGTCAACTTCAGCGTTCAATTTAACAGTGACGCGCGAGCGCGATATGTCACTTTCGATACAAGCGAATCTTCTCGCTCGCACTTAAAACAAAGGTATGTGCGGGAATAGGAGAGGATAAAGGAATTAGTGTAGTGCCAATCCTTAGAAAATTAACGTTTCGTACCACGCTAAATTATTTATTTGAACAAACTATTACTAATAATAATTATACAATGATAAACAAAAATGTAATGTTATATGGCGCAACCAACTAGTGTAGTTACTCATTCAAGCTAAATAAGATTGCATGTAGACCTGACATATATTCCTCATATGTATCTTTCAATACCTTCGTGATAGAATAATAGTAGAGTCACCTGATTACACCATGAAGTTCTTATGTGCTGCTATCTACCTATATGAAACATCAGACTAGATCTTACTGTCTCTATAATTTCCCTTGACATTTGAACTGATGCAATATTTTTTCAAACTCACTAATAATAAGGCACGTCCTAATTTAGGCACAGATCTCAAATTTATTTTGATATTTTTCAAATCTTATTTAATTTTAAATCTGGAACAGTACAGGTACACTTTATGGTGCGCGACCTCGACAGACAATCTCGACATAAGATAGGACATCGCAACACTACATACTGTATATTAAGAGCAAATAAATGTATATTTCGCGATACAAACGAAGATCCGCGAATACCAACAGCACCATACACTCAAACAAATAAATCGGCTGTCATAAATTGCTTTATCGAATTTCTTCGTGTAAGTCGTCAAGTTTTGAAGTATATTTTTCCCTATAAATCAGTTTAATATATAACAGCCAATACTATTACAATCTTCTATAACTCACAAGTTGTTGATGGTTGAGGTTGCCCGATTGCGACTAACTTTTCGGGGCCTAGTAGCCTTATGCACCAATCCGAGTCTTTCGGACTACCTGACGACTAACTGACTGTGTGTTATTAGTCTATCTTAGTTGCGGTTGCCTGTTTCAGTCGCGTAACTAAAATTGTACCTATTGTCTTTTACTTATTGGTTTGCAATACTGGGCAGTATAGTAATGCAGTATGGTTTGGCATCCGTAGCAGTTTTTCCAGGACAGCGCACGGATTGAGGCGGGCTTCCGGCGGTATTTCTACAGAGCGCCTTCTGATCAGACCAACGATACGTATACGATATTGGTCTGCCACGCGAATGTCATCAGATATTTCGTTTGCAAGTGAGTACAAAATATTTAAAATCAAAATGTAAAGCTACAAAATTAAATTCAATTGAAATTGGAATATACTTTTGGATCAAGTATAACTGACTCTGTTACTGTTTTATGTTATTTACGAGTGCTTTCTATGTATGTTATGTTTATTCTATCAATTGCCTAGTACACATAACACAAGCTCTGCTTAACTTGGGATTAGATGACGCTGTGTGAATTATTATGGATTAATTATTATACCTACATATATTACTACTCTTTTCAATGAGATTGCAAATAATTAACAGAATTAGATTCGTCTTCAACATATATTCCGCAGAATAAAGTTGCCACCTATTATTTATAAATCCTTTACTATATTTTAATTATGTATATAGTTGCGATATGTAAAAAAATAAAGTAAATGTTTTAATACTATTTTAGCAATTAACGAGTCAGATAGCTTATCAAATTTATCCTCTATCTATTACTCATAGAAATATGATCAAATAAATGTAAACCTTATATATTTATTTATTCGCCTTTCAGAGCCCTACAGTTCCCCCCTGAGGGTTGGCTCCGGTTATCACTGAATCACGGATCAATAACGTGGTTATCGATTCTGCCAAGTGGGAACGTAGTACTGCGATCGCTCGGGGACACCGGCCACATGGAACCCAAGTATATATCTAGCCGGTAAATTAGTTAACATGCTCATGTAGATCTTAATACGACAACGGCCATAGCATATTGAATTTAAAGATTAAATGATATAATTTATTTAATACAATTATAAAATATTTTTTATTCTGATTTAGTTTTATGAATTAAATGATGTAAAATTGTAATTTGGGTATTATATAATCTGTATTGTAACATAATCAGACAGATCTGAATTTAGATTGTGCTAAATTTACTACAGAAATATATATGATTTGAATCATTATCACGTGTCTTTTTAAACTCTACAAGTACAGTCGATCAGATTATTTAGTCATCTTACTAATATTATAAATGCGAAAGCTTGTGAGTATGAATATGGATGGATGTTTGTTACTCTTTCACGCAAAAACTAGTGAAAAGATTTTTATGAAACTTTACAGTAATATAACTTATACGTCAGAACGACACATAGGCATATATGACATATAATCACGGAAGAAACCGCGGGCAAGACTTAAAGAAATTTGATACGAAGATAAATGGCATTAAGTGGATGGATATAAACTGTCTTACCTCAAAAGTAATTTACATAGGGTGTATGAGCAGACGAAGTTTGAAACGGTATCATTATATACATATAGTATATATAGTACCTATTTCCTTTTTGAAGAATGTCATTCTGTATTAAAAAATAAACCACGATAGACCTAAAATGCCAATGTCAACCCTTAATTAACCTTAATATAGTATTATTAATACACAAAGTCCTACGGCACGTGTCCTAGAGATAACTAATTTCTCAAGTGTTTGTAAATATTTTACTAAGCTGTTTTAATATAGAAACTACATGCATACAAGTATAGATAGCATTGGAAAACCCAATGCTGTAGTTACTAGAGAAGCATCTACAATATATAAATTTCTCAACGCTATTTTAACTATGAGATTTAAAATATGTGCATAAATAGTATTCATTGTTACCTTCAAAAGATCAAACTAAAATTGCAGATAACATGAAATATATTGTATAGAGAAAACAATGAACGCGGTTATCGGATTCAGCGATCACGAAATGAATACTATTAATATTAAACAATAAAATTGAAGTAGTTATTTACTGAGAAATAAATAAGTATATTTTCACGACTTATTCCAGACAGAGTAGTCAGAGGCATTGTGATAAACGCGACATTTGCTATGGCACACACACAAATTAATTTATTTATTTTGTGATACCAGTTCGAAATATAAATTTATACACAACTTTTTTGGAATTCGAATTTGTTGAAATGGGATATTTGGCATATTTATGATGATGTAATAAATGACTAGGTTTTGATGGTCGATATAATAAACTATCTGTTCAACTTCGTCTGCGTTTTTCATGATGATGATGTTCCGCTATTATTGGACATAGTATAACCTTCCTCGTTAAATAGCCTATCCAAAACTTAAATTCTCACCTTTAGTCCCTGTAAAAACATATTTTATGATATTTAAAATATTTGTTTAGATAATTTATGCTCTGGTCGTTGCATAGTAATATTCAAAAGCCAAATTTATGTATTGGACATAATATGATCATAATATTATAAGCTAAAAACAATGTATTATTATATAGCTTTTTGTGCCTCCATACTGCACTCACGTCTATATTTTGATGGCATTTACTATCAATTAATCATTTTTGTACTTGCAGTTTAAGTAATTAAAATATGTATAGTATTTATATACCTTAGATATAAAGAGAGAGGTGTATATGACTACTTTATTCGTTTATTTGCTTATATAGTATAACAACAAGTCTTACACGGTGAACCTAATGCAAAAATGGTTGTCACTTAGGTACAAAGATATAAGACTGTAATACCCTATGTAAGGGCGAACGTTATAAACCTATTAAAATATAGACGTGGTTGCATATATAATGTATTAACGTGTAGAAATAATGCAAATCCTGAAAATAGTTTGCTCAGAATTGTTATTCAATCGAATTAATCTAACTAAAAACTAAAGTATAAGGAATTGCTTAACTCGATTATACGTTGTATATACTTGTTCCACTCTGCATTATGTATATAATAATACAATTAATTAAATATATAACTAACTAACTAACATACTGGCAGGAATTCTCAAACAAAAAGTCACTTGAATGTAAAAGAAACCTGCTCATAATTTGAAGAATTGGATGAAAAATAATGAAGTAAAATGTTATCTGCGGCATCAGTTATCTGGCAGACTAATATCTTCCTTTTGTTGGGAGAAATCCGTGCTCTGTAATAGAATATTACTTTGGAATGTTCACTTGACTTTTGCCGTATTGCCGGTAAGGGTTCGGATTTAAGAGACTGCTGAGGGTTGTGGTAACATCAAATCTAGAAAGTATAAGTAGTACATAGTAAGGTAGTAAATCTGTGAGCGCTAAACAAGTTGAGACTGTATTGAAGTGTTAGTTATGCTCTTGTGAGAGCGGAACCCAAAATGAATATATGATATTATCAATAGTGTTGAAATGTTATTCTGGAATAAAGTTGTTGCACAGTCAAAAATAATTTGTTCCAAGTGATACGGACCTCTTCGAGCATCGACTAATTTAGCATACTTTTAAATTCACACCCGAAGCAAAGGGTCGACTCTCATACAGTTTTGCTGATATGCTTACAGCTAAATTGTACTTAAAATTTTCTTACCTATAAAAAATGTATTACAGATTGTTATAGTATAGTAAATCTGATATGTATATGTAATGATCGTAACAAGTTATTCAATTGTTTTGTATTACGACCGTTAACAATTTATATTTCTATTTAAACATGATTATTCCTTTATTTAATTTTATACGATATTCTAACACAATAATAGCTTATCGAGATATGCTCTTCGCACTCTACAAAACTGTGACACAGTTTATATCAAAGCAAAGGAAATAGAATCTTAATTTAAAATTTAGAGTGCCATTTAGTCCAATATATCTATTTTTACTTTCTGTGGATATAAATTGTGCTGCTATATCTTAAATATACGACAATAAAATGAATGAATTATGATATAAGAATATGATTGATTGTAATTCAATATATTTTCATAATTATATGAAGACTCAATTATAACAGATTTTAGCTATTCTTTCGAAAAGATTACCTTATTGAATTATTATGTTAAATTCTTAACAAAATTTATTTGTTTTACTGTGAGAAAGTTCTATATTGCATTTACTGAGTATTTTTCGTTACCGTCATCATATATATTGTTAAAAAAATAAATATAATATGACTAACATGCTCACTCCCTTACTCAGGATCTTAGGCCCCCTTAGGCCAGGGTCCCGTGATAATTTTTCTCTCTCTGCTCTGCCACCCTATTATTACAGCTGTGACTGTTACAAGAATAGTGTGATTGATTTGAATGTTCCTACATTGATTTATTTTAGTTTTGAATATAAACTGTATCTGTAGTTAGACATGAAATGAAAAAAGTTGTGCTTTCCATTATGATGTATTGTTAATGACGGTAACAGTAATATTTTTTTAATAATATCAATTTGCCTGTTGCGTTATATATGTATTATAAATTTACTTACAGTGTAACTTTTATTATGGACTGGCAAGTCTATCCTATTGTGGTTATTAGATTGAAGGACTTGTATATGGTCATAAATAAAGCATTATTAAAGAAACCTATTGTGGTTCGGCAAAAACACAAAGCAAAAACAAAATTTCGCTAATTCTTCATGTTGGCTATAAAATGTAAGATTGATTATGGACATTATACCTATTATTGATGTATATACCTCTCGGAAGGTGTTGTTATAAATCATCTTCATGTATATAATATAATCTGTAAGCTCATATTTTGATATGTTAATAAAAAATATATATAGATATTTATTTTTATTTCATTACGGTATAAATTATTCCAGATTTCTGTTATTTTAGAGTATTGAACTTATTTTAAGGTCGGCAACGTCGTGGACCTTAGTGTTTCCGGCGTCCATAGGCTACGGTAACCGTTTACCATCAGATGGGCCGTACGCTTGTTTACCACCTACGTAATATAAAAAACAATTAAACTTTTAATGGTTCCATTATTTGTATATGTACATAAAATCTTAGAATTATTTTTTAGGTATATTGACAAGAATTCTGTGTCAAATTAGGATTAAGGTTATAATAAAAAAATCTTATATAGTTGTTGATAAATTTATTTGTATATTGGTCTGTATTTGTTTTACAACATCTAGGATTATATCGACAATGAAATATAGGTATTCGTTCATGCAATTAATTTTATTAAATGTTAGGATAGGTACTTATTGTTTTTAATACATTATTTTAAATTCTTTTCAAGATATGTGTAGTTTAGGAAAAGGCGTTACAATAGTTAATGAAATGGTAGGGATAGTATAGCAATATTTAATACTTTTATGAAATATCTAATGAAATTTATCTTACACGATAGTAATAATATTTTAAGTGATCTTAAAATCCAAAGTATATACTTTAAATTGATAGTAGTATAGTACCTAATATAATTACTCAACTCGATGTAATCATAAGCATATCAAATGTATGATCCATATTTACATCTCACTCTAAACCTTATTATGAATATTAGGTATATTACTGTAAGTAGACAGAATAATTTAATTAGTATAGACCATACAGGGTTAGTCGTAAAGCAAACACCAAGTCGAGAGTCAGGTGAAATATCCATTAAACTGAACCAGAGGTAGACAATAAAAGGTCGTTCGCGTACGTACCCCTCAGTTTCATATATTTCGACTGTTAAACTGTTTTGTAAGCTGTATTTCGGTTGTAAGGTGCAGATTAGGCAGTGAAATTATAGGATAAGAGGCATGACTTTTTATTCTCCATCATATATTTCTTATCTTATTCTCTGGAATGGCAACGCATGAGTGGTATTACAGGAGTTATATGTTAATATGATGACCATAGTGTTGATCATGTTACCAAATAGGCCTTCAGCTTGTTTACACTCAAATTGCATAAAAAGACCACCACAAACATGAATCACAATGGAGATCAGATAGGTTTTTGAACTTCTCATGCTGAATTGATCATGTGACCGTACAGATTGTATGTAGGCTTTATAAATTATAGTCAATTACCACTAAGTTTCTTTGGTTTTGAGTTTTATGAATACTGGCACTGGCTTGAGTTGTGGTTTACGATTAACCCTATCGACATAAATTATTTTTGAAGGAAGTTATCTATTTAGTTCCATATATCAACAAGCTGCCACAATACGAATACAGTTGAATTAATTTTAAATAAGTATTTAATTAGTCATAAAATGTATCTTAGAATTATTAAATAACCAGGTAAGTACAATTTTTATGAGATAATCAATGGCACGAAAATAGTGTACCGACGTTACCAATGTTAGTTTCATGGTGTTACACAAGCGAGGAGAAGCGTATGTACGTAAATAGTAAGTAAATACGCAATGTAATAAGTGACATTTAGGTATAAATAATTGACGAGAAACATACGAATCGTATTTTAAAAATAAATGTCATAGTATTCAATAAATAGTTATGATAAAATTATTTTTTCCCATGCAGTGGTTTTACAAAATTCTATTTTATATTAACTACATATCCATTTTCCTAGTACAAATATCTATGTATTTGCAGAAATTATAAATAGTTTAAACATATTTAAACCATTTTTAATTTAGTTATTTTTCTTAAACCCATGTTCATCCCCCTATCGAACTTCTAGTGGCGTCCTCAGATTAAAGTCATACTCGTTGGTCACTTCACTCACTCCCATTTTCGTCCGGTGAAGCTGTAAAAAGCAGCTACGGCCAATTGAACTCAACACACAACAACTCATTGTATCCTTCTTTTCTGACAATGATATTCGCTGGGCTCTCGGATTGTCTCTAGAATACTCTTTGTTTGCAAATCCTTGCTTTTGTCTACCCATACTAATACATATCTATAGCTGTTTGCTGTTGGATACCTCATTAGTTTTAGAAGAAGTTTATTACCACCTATGAGACCTATGTCGGTAGGTAGTAATTAATTAAAAACATCTGCAATCCGTACTAATTTAAGAAACTACGAATGATTGCGAAACTATTTACGTTTTATTAAAAACATTTAATATTAATTGCGTATTTTTCTCGTCAAGTAAAATTGTAGCAGCAGTTAGTTTGCAATGATTGGTCTCTGCAGCGGAACGTCCGTGCCATCGGTTGTCTCCTCGTCGTCTTCATCGTCACAGGCGTCCTCAGGCTCGCCGAGTGCCCTCACGAATTCTACAAATAAATATACATAAAAAACATTACCATATCTGACCTCTCTTGCAATAATAAATAAGCTGACGGCCCGCCTGACCTTAAGTGGTAACCGTCTATACTATGGAAATAAGACTATATGTCGCCTATATTATGAAAACAATAAAATTGTTTAATATATCTCTACTACTAAATACGACATAGACCACTCAAAAATTATCGGGTATCGAATATAATTTGCTCTATTATACGGAAAATATTGTTAAAGCAACAGTATGTACCAAATCATTTCAATTGCATTAATATCAATTATGATATCTAATGGTAAAACCTCGAAAGACATTTTCGATTCTGAACGACAAAGATGATAGAAACTGGCTATCGTGCATTTACTACATAAATTTGAGCATCATAGACTGACTGTTATTTTACTCCAAAATTGTCATTAGGATGAAGCCATATCTTATGGACAAAATTGCTTTTACTTCCATTAAACGGATGGCTAAAGCTTAAGACAGCCTAATACATATGTTCTAGTTTTTATACTCACCCAAGAAGTCAATGCGACCGTCACCATCAGAATCAACTTCTTTAATCATGTCCTCAACTGAAAAGAAACATTCAGCAGATATTTTTTATTTTCTTTATTATTAGAGGTGTAAACATATCAAAAGCCTATCTGACGGTAGTACAGTAGTGTATGTTAATAGATAAATCGGAAACGTTTGCCGCCACTTACTATTTGTTAGTTTTCTTGAAGACACTTGCGAGTAAGTGACGTCTTTTATTTTATACTGAAATCTAATTCTGAATCACTAAAAATTCCGTACAAATATTTTTTACGCCCTTAGAATGACAAACAAGCAGACGGCCCACCTGATGGTAAAGTGGTAACCATCGCCTCTACCTACTATCGTATAGATAAAATGAACTGAAATGATAAACATCACTATAAAATTTAAATCAAAATATACTTATTTGTTAGTGTAGGTCTATTACAGACTCTTATGATATCTATATTAAATCTACTGTCAGTCCGGAGTGCTTTTCAGCTGAAAATAACTAACAAGAAACTCTAATTTTTTCCAAAAGAGTGTGTACAAATTTATAATAATACAGATCCATTTTTTAATTTAAATTTGGGAGAATAGTAAGTACTTCTCATAAATTGGCATTCCTAACGATTTTGACGTCATGCCTTCTCTCTATTCTATAATTTCACTTTATTATCAATCAGATTCTTTAATCGAAATATATTTTGCTGATAAAGCTGCTTAGATTCTGGAATAGGTGAGACAGATATTCACAACTTTGTACATTGGATAAGCTAAGCCGATTTATAGAATTCTTTCTCCTGAAAAAGTAAGCTTTAGTATCAGAGTAATATGTATGGGTAACAATGTGGTAGGTTTCTAGTTTTGTATATTTGTTTTCTATATAGATAAGTTTCAAACCGATAACTGCATATTACACTATACTACTATTATACTTACTCTCTTCCTCCGAGAGATCTTCGCCCAAACATTGCAGTACAGCCCTCAGATCCGACGCACAAATATAGCCTCTGTTGTGTTTATCAAAAACACGGAAGGCGTCCCTCAGTTCGCGCTCCTCTTGCTCAGCCGAGCTAGTACCACCGGCAGGACCAGACATCGACTTGGAGAGGATGCTCACGAATTCTTCGAAGCTCACGTTCCCGTCGCCTAGTTTAGGTTAACAATTGCCGAAATTACTTGCTTACTGACTTAGTCTATGATATATTTATAAAGCTTTATATTTTGAATACCAAATTCTAAATTGTCACTTTATTCCTTTCGGTTTCCCTTGCTGGCCCTAGTTTGTATATAGCCTAAATAATCAAAAATGTTCCACGCGGGCGAAGTCGTAGGCTCAGCTAGTATAATAATATAAATGTGAAAATGTGTCTGTGTATCTATTTATTTGTTGCCTTTTTACTACGCAACGTTCAGATCTTGAGAAAAGACATGAAGATATATTGAATCAAGAATACGGATATAGGCTATCTTTTAATTTAAAACAGCAGATTAAGGCGTGACATGTTAGTTATATATACATATACGGTATACGTACCATCTCTATCCACCTCCTGCAGCATATCTTGGAGCTCCTCGACCCTCGCGTACTGACCAAGACTGCGCATGACCCGTCCCAATTCTTCCTTAGTAATGGTACCATCTCCGTCTTTGTCAAACAAACGGAACGCTTCACGAAACTCTGCAAAATAATAGACATTAAATAATTTATACATATTAAAAAATAAAGTAAATAAGCTGAAGGCCTACGCAATAGTAATTTACACTATAATAATCACAGATAAGTTTATATTACATAATACTTAGTAATAATATTAAAAAATTGTGTCAAAAGAATAATTTGATACAATTTCTAGGTATAATGAAATTACCTACTAATCGAGATAACCATTTATACTCTTTATTGGGATAGTAAATCTACCATTTCTACTACTCATACTACTACTCAGATATACTATATATCGTATTTATAATATTAGTATATAAGTATGAAAATAGTCATACTTATATTATTTACTAATATTTAAATTGTACGTATTTTCTGTCTTCTGAGAAAATCCCATACACATCAATGCGACTGTTAAAACTGGGAATACTTGGTAACTTACAGTAATTATGTATGTCCCAGATCATTAGTTACCTTTCATTTGGGTCCTAGTGATTCCCGTTGTTTCGTCCACGATGGATGCTTTCCTGTCCAGGTTCGTGTCAGCTGCTGGCTTCAAGAATGTTACCTGCCTCTGAGGTTGTCGTGATGGGGTTATAGACTGATCAGACAGCAGGCTGCGAATAAGAAATAAATCTTGCATGTACAGTGGGCGACCTGTAAGATTGTATTTTAAATATGTAAGAATGAATTAACTAGTTGAGCACGCTGTTTGGTGTAATCGCGGGCACAGGTACCTAGTTAAACCACGTGAAAATCATAATGTGTTATTCTGAAGTATGAGCTATATTTTTTTATTAGTTTTAGCTTGAAAGAATAAACATTAATCCACCCCTACGCGTTTATAATATTAGTAAAATTCCAAAAATAATGCTTATTTTAGGATCAGAAAAAAACAGAAAAAATACGTACTTAGCCCAAAGAATTATACAAAAACTTAATTATAACAAAGAAGATTTAATATCACGGCAGGTCCTATCTACGAGTGCTTGCTTCAGTTGAATATTCCGGCCGCTAGACGGATTAAAACTTTACAAATTAAACACTGTTGAAGTTTTTAAAGAAATAGCAATGTAATTATTTGCATTTGTGCTGCGCAATTCTGTTAGAACGTATAGAGACTGAACAAGTAATCACTACGGGCACTCTTGTTAATCTATAGAAATAACGTAAAATGGAATGATAATACCTATACTATAACATATATTTGTTAACAGTATTTCTCAGTAACTACTGAATTTATCAATGTATAATAAAATATACAATAATCTTGATCTTGATTTTATTTATCTTTATCTTCTTTTGTTTACGTATCATAAAATCTTGACAAGGCGGTAATATTTTTAGATGGCCTTGTTATACGTCTTATTTTTTGTTGTACTTAATTGTCTAATTTGGATTCGTAATTGTTATATTATAATACAAATATACTGTTTTATAATAATTTGAGATCTAATACAGTCCACCGATTCGTTGCAGATAGCTTAGACAAAATGTACCTACACGCACACTATGTTGACGGATGTTGACGGCACAATTCGTATTAAATATATACCTACATATTATTACAATAAATATTGAATGAAGTCCTAACGAGATAGTACTATTTCAAAAAATAATAATATCAATTTAATTACAAAGTTAGTCAATCAATGATTATTTATTTCTAAACCATACCATACTACATATCTTGACATAATTTTCATATTTATTTTAAAAGGTTTGTATATATTAATGTAATGTTATATATTAATAATGTTGTTCTTAACAAGCGAGGTCAAGATGGCTAATTAGTTTGTTTATAAATTGGTCAATCTGCTCATTGCATCCTTCACTTACGCGTTCTCTAGTCTGTTACTGTAGTATCTTCTTCAATATATACATATAAATAAATAACCCGGGACAATTAACACAGCGCCACCTAGTCCCACGATAAGCAGAGCTTGAGTTATAGGTACTAGACAACTGACATACTGAATACTTTAGATATTTATTTAAAAGTGCAATAAAGAGTTATAAATAAATACATAGAATACACCCAGACCGATACAAACAATTATATCATGAATACAGATGTTTGTACTGTGCGAAGAATAGAACTCGCGACCATTGGACATAAAGCCGTGTGCTAAACCTCCAGACCACCGAGATCGTCAAATATATATGTAATTGTATACATCTATCCTTGTGCAATATATGTATATAGTACAACGATAGACGTATATATATAAATAAAGCAACTATCCTAAAGTAACAAACAAATGCGGCACAGCAGCGAACGTCTTTATATTGATTACGTTGGAAGTCGGTATGGCATCCGAAGTATTCACTGTAATTTATTGCGACCCTACGCTATTGAAGGGTATCGAAGTATTGACTACATGTCATAGTCACATTTTTGGGTCCAATATCTTGTAAGAAGTTACTGAAATGAGATTTCACACATATGTTGTTTTTTTTTCTTATGTAACTGAATGGAATGGCAGACAGAATACGGCTATCTGCGATTTTTTCCTAGCTATGTAAATACGTTTAGCTTTTCTAATGCAGCTAGCTTTTACAGCTTCACTATATACACAAAGAGTACTACAAACATCTGGCAGATTAAAGGTTGAAACCTCGGTTTGGGCCGTTGTCATTTCGATACCAATTGAAGGTCTTATTCATGAAGAACTGAGCGTTAGAAGCCTGTCGAATTAGAATAAGTAAATATTCAAATATACATAAATATGTTTCTGATAGTTAAATTCAAAGAGTTAATACTACGCAACACAATACAACCACAAAGTTCCACGATTTAAATTGGAACTAAATTTAATTTAAACTACAACTTCCATTAATCACAACCAGGCGCCCGTAGTTCTCTACGTTCTATTCTAAGTTGTATGTAGCTACGTATAAGGATGAAATTTATTTTGCCATCAAATTTATATAGGTGTTCTGGACTGAATTACTACTGATAGAAACATCATGCCTTCCACAGAACTTCGGAGGTTGTATTGACATTTAGACCATTAAAGAAAGCGAAAAGACCAGTATTGCCATGGGAAAAGGATCTTGCCACGTTGATAGACTACGAACATCTTCTAGAAAATTGATAAGATTTCGTTACCTCTTTTATTTTACAAAATATAATAGAATGAAGCGACTGATATGATCGAACTTCACTTCCAGAAGTAATATAATAGCGGCCCGCACTGGTTTCGTACGGGTGCAATATCACAAAATTTTTCGGCTTCAGCTGAAAAATTTTGTGATATTGCACCCGTAAAAATTAACGGTTGGATCCGTGCACTAGTAGTTCTACCCTCCTAGTAATTTATTTCAAATTATGCTCGTCAATACTGAACGGATTATTTATATAACGAAAGGTCCATTTCGAAATATGTCACTCACTCGTATGATTTTTATTTTTGTAAAAATAATATATATTGTAAATCATTTAATGAAATTTATATTTAGATAGTGTATGGATGTATCGAATGCGCTTTGGTGTTAGAAACCATTTTAACCAGTAATTTCATTAATAATGGAGTAATTACTCACTCACTGGGCCATTAGATTAATCAGATTAGAAATCACCGTTTTGAGGTTATTAGTCAGAGTAGTATCGCGAGAATTAACCATTCATTCATAAAATACCTAATATTCATAATATCTTACTCATTGTGAAAAGTCAAATGGTAGTTAGATTTCATGGAAATTCACGTTGAATTCATTTTAACTTACGCTGTGCGAGGTAACTGACTCGACACATTTCCTTCGTGCTTGTTTCAAGTTTCATGTCATTTGAGTTTGGTATAGGTAGGAAAGTTCTAATTTGTTTTAACTTTAACCTATATAACATGTAGATACTTAGTAACAAACTACAAATATTAGTAATTTGTAATAACATGTGTATAATGATTGCAAAATCGTCTCTGTTCCAATATCAGACAGAGGGCAATTCATTTTTCATGTATATTCTACGGTTGCTTCGATAATTCTAGATGTTTCGATGATTCGGACTTCTGATTTCATGTTGATAGATGGCCGACTTTATGCACAGATATGTTAGAGTATTTAGGTATATCAAGCTCCGCGTTTCAAGATCTTTTCCTTGGCTACACACTTTGTTTTAACAGAAAGTGTTTCATATTTTAAATGTGCTACTTCTAATATTTATGATTTTATATTGTAACAAGTAAATAACAAAAGCAATCGTTGTGATTCCATATTATGAAAATACGCAAAGGACCAAAGAGCAAGTTGGGTGAGAACAATTGAATATTTACACGCTTTCAACGTCTCCAGAACAATGTGAGGTATGTAAATATTCAATTTGGTAGGATTATCAGAAAGGATCAGGTTTAAAATGTTGAATATTTGTTTCTTTCTACCAACGAAATATATGACATTTTGCCGATACTAAGCTTAGAATCTAGAATAAGAATAGCTTGGAATCAAATTTCTTTTGGACGGTGTCGTCGGTTAGTTGCCCTCCTCTAGGTACTATACCTAAGTATTTCATATATTGGGGTTATAGATAAATTGAGTTTATCAGAGTAATACAAAATTAGACGGCTAATTGTTTTTTTTATAAAAATAGAATTATAAGTAAGTTCGCAGGCTTACACATAATATACTTTATACATTGATATATATTATGTTATTAGATATTATTGTTTATGACTTATAACAATAATATATGTCGACCATGACCGTTAGCACTGGCGGGAGAACCATTGCATCAAAAACATTTCGCTAACTCACCTATCTGTGGGGCTGATGGCCAATGATGGAGGCTCTCTGCTTTCAGGGCGGGAAGCTTCATCGGGGGGACCCGGCTCTCCCCCGCTGCTGCTTGTTTGTCGAGTCTGTTTCAGTTAAGTACAGAATTTAACAAATTAAATACCTAATGCTTATTTATCTAAATAGATATCACTATATATACAATGTAACTAACTGATTTAACCACTAAATAAAATATTCAAAACTCAATAGAATACATAAATAGTAACAGAAGTAGATTTTGTATGTTGTTTGCATGCTTAGTTGCCGATGTCTCATCTATTTTAACTATAGCAACTTGCTTTGTAAGCTGTGTTTCGATCATTATTTATATTAACAATTATAGTTGAGCAATAATAATATTTCAAAAGTCAGTTTCATAGAAGCATAAGCATGGTACTGTTTTTAAACTTTAAATAAAATTGTTTACAGCAAAGTCACAAATACAAATATCAGAATGTATTTATTGAAATATGGTTTTAGCCAATATTTGATTGCAACAGGCAGGCGATATACAAATTTGTAGATAATAATTGTATATGTATGCAATTACCTTACACAACACAGACCTTCAATATACTATTCATTAGAACTTGTAGAAAATCAATCTATTTTATACAATGACATAGTACTAGATACATTGCTCAGGCACTATGATATTACAGTGAACTCACACATCGAAACTTAATTTGAAGTGCGCCCAACGCTGTAATATTCCATTCTGTTTAGAAGTATAGACATGAGTGGGAACAATCGTGTATTCGGAGCGTAGTAGAAAGCGTATTAAGTATAAATTCGGCGATAATATTCGTGAAAATACAAATTCTCTTTATGGGTTGAAAAATCATTAAGAAATTATTAAATAAAACTCATTTAGCACTTTTAAAAAAGTAATGTAGAAAAAGGCCGAGTTATAAAATATTAAAAAAATATATTGCAAATTATAAGTCACGGGTCTCGGAGTGCCTGCTTGCCTAGATAAAGGTTATATGGGTTAATTTGCGGATACCTAATTGTAGATAACGTTAGTTTGTTTCAATAATATTTGTAAAGCTTACCATGATACCCTTGAGCTGATTCACCAGCGGCGAATCAGCGAAGAAGTTGTTCACCGCGGAGAATATGTTTGCGCGTTTGCTCGTCGCGCGGCGGCAGGCGTTCTCACGCCCGCCCAAATGCTTTTGTAACAATAAACAACTGTGTATTATGAACTAATATTACGTCATTATTTTATTACTTACTACATATTTGTAAACCAAATTATAACAATAGATTGACTGTTCCGGAGTATTTTTTGTTCGTATATTTTTCGACGGGTTTATTTTTACTCCCCTATAAAAGGGGAACTCCTTGTTTAGGTGTAAGAATATCAATATTTATGCAGTCTAGTTGCTAAACGAACGAGGACTCTGCTTAATTAAAAACGCAATCAATCAACTACCTACGAATACCTAAAAATTTTCTTGATTCGCCAAAATGTTCAATGATTGATTTTGAACTAATTTTAATAGTTTCTCAGGTGTAATTAAAATTTTACAAGTGTCTTATTAATTGTAGTAAAATTTTAATCTTGTATCTCATAAATACAGCCTCAAAAACTATGAATAGATATTTAATATTGAATCCATTTATTCCTAAACAACGTCCTTGCGTAGCTATATGTAGTTTGTTGCTAATAGAATATGTAGATGTATTCACAGTAATTTATTTATTACCGCTTAATTTTATTTTTTTAGAAATTTATGATTATTTTTCTTATATTTTTTACTAATATTTTCCTTTCATGGAAATTTGTTATTTTAATATTATTTTCTTCACCTTTCAGAAATGTTCTCTAAATACGCTATATAACTACGATATCACTATCAATTGTAATCTGCTTAATCGAGAATTCATAGCACGAAGAATACTTAATCCAGCCGCTAAACCGCGAACCGTTCTATAGACTGTTTAGAGGAGTTTGCTCCTAATTTATAACAAAACCCAGTCTGATGTTACTATTTATTTTCCTACCCATTCCCACGATTAAATTGCAGATACAATGTTTACAATAAATCTGGCGTCAACCAGGCCTTATGGTTTGTTGCGAGTGGACTATGGAACGTAAACAAATTAGGAAATTGTTTTCGCGTTTATTTTTAGCAAACTGTATTTGCTAAATCATAGGTTATTTCAGTAGATACAGCTAGTTTTTTCGCGCAGCGTTCCCTACATTAATATATAAAATGTATCCTATAGATTCTAGTAATCAAGGATATAATCTATCCAATTACTAAAATTTCAATCGCATCCGTCTACATTATTTTTTCTTGATTATAACAACATTCAAATGTATAATAGTGGCATTATAATTAAACATTAAAAAAAATGTTTTCAGATGTAAGTATTATATTTTCCGCCATTATATGTATATGCCAGACAAAACTAATCTGACGTCGGGCCTCTCCTTATTAGAAGAGGATTTAGCCTATTACTACTCAGTTCAGGGAATTGCTTTGAGTTTCTCTTAAATCGACGTATTAGTTCTTTGTTCTTCTTGCGATGTGCACGGGATGACAAGGAGTGGCAGATTATAATGTTTTTACCTCACTGTACAGATAGTTGATACAATTTCTTCTTTTAAGTAGAAACGATTTTGATGATTCTTATAATGCGAATCTGTTAATGTCTGTTTATCTGTCTGTCAGTAAATCCGACTATGTATTTGTAGCCTTTTAAAATTAAACATCTAAACAAATCCTAATTAAATTAATGGAACATATATAAGCTATGTTTAATGTTAAAGCAGACGAACTCGCGGGAATCTTTTAGGAACACGGAAAAGTAACAAGGCGGACATAAACATTTTCATATTCATACACTTTCATAATTATAATATTAGTATGGATTTACCAATTAAATATGGTACGAAAACATAGTCTAGTTTCAAAATAAACCCAAGGAATGGTACACAAACAAAAGTGCACTTAGATTGTAACTTCTCCTTTAAGAAGTCGGCTGATGAAATTAATTACCGTCTTAGTACGTACAAAATTTAATGATCGATTTCCACAAAAAGCTTTTGCCTTTTACGTTAAACAAGTCACATCATCAATCTCCAAGTTTTAATATTAATAGGTTTCATTAACAAATATTATTTCACCGTCATTATTTTGTTTCCGGATGAAACGCCTTTGGTTCTTAACTTCGTGTAATTAATAATTACATTGAGTAGGACTAAAATCATATCGGATACAAACAAAAACAGGCAAATAGTTATCTTTTATTCTTTTATAATATAAAAATAAGTCACAGTTTTTGACTGTCTATTTCTCCTCTTACTTCTTCTGAAGCACGCAATGGATTTTGTTACTGTTTTCAATATTGTTTAGACAATTTCTTCCCTAAGGATTATACGTATAATACCTACATGTATATTATTTATTATAGTAGAACAGTTTATAATTAGAAGCTAGATACACAGGACAGTCAGCCTAATGTTGGAACTAGGCTGATTGTCCTTTGTGTCTAGCTAGGGCACTGCCAAAATCTGCATAGTTATCAAGACTGAAATGCCTTTTGGTATTTCAATATTATACAAATTGTTTTGGCTTTGTAAGACACAATTACTTATTTATATGCTTCCATCATATACAGTAATATACACTATCTACACGTGTGAAGCAAATGCGAGACGCTAGTTAGACATAATAATATCAAATAGAATAGAATTAGGTATTCTGTGTCGCTACTTATATTAAGCACTTTTTATTAGTAATTGTTTTGCATCTACTGACCATTCGAAATGCAGAGTCAGTTAAGAATGATGGGAAAGAACTTCTGCCTGTTGCTCTTTTAAAGGAACATGACAAAATATTTGGATAAGCGTCTTATTAAGGCTTGGCCTTGTATTATATATTCATTCTTGTACATGACAGGCGGTAAAAGTTTTTATGGAAGTATTTTTTATTTCCTTGTATACTAGAGTATTATATTAGCATGTTTCGGGGACTGAAATCCCGGTTGAATATACTGGGATTGAAGTTACTGAATAAATTTTAAATATTTTTACTCTACGGTAGCTTGATCCGCATGATTACATATGCATGCGCATGATAAGTTCTTATTTTCTACAGGTATAACTGATAAATAATTAAAAATAAAAATATAAAAAATAATTTATGAATTCTATGATTGTGGTAGGATATATTTAATTTCAAAAGTACTTGTAATATTGAGGTATATACACGTACCAAGTTCAATTAAAGTCATACGAAGAAAGTTGTAAATCCGAAATAATGTTAATATGCACATTACAGAATCAAATATAAACATTTCATTTTCATGCAGTTTATATTCTTTCCTATTGTTTCGTAGAAGGTTTTCAGTTTCATCAATATTTATTATTGTAAGCGTTGATCTTTATTCAGTAAATATTTTCTTATTTCTTTATTTATATAATTTACATTTACATAAAAAATACACTAAAGTAACGCTATAGAAATATAGACTACTAATGGACTTTAAATACACAATGACTAAGTTTGTACGTTTTAACCATATAAATAAAACCATATACAACAAATGAAATTTAAAAAAAATCTAACTTTAGTTTTTAGATATTTGATGACAATTGGAGATTGATAGATTTGATGAATATAATAAATGCTATTCTAGAAAAAAGAGTTATAGACGGACTGACAAAATGATGAAAAATATTTAGCCTAGTAAGGGTAGGGAATATTGAAATGGGAGAAACCCTTTTAATGTACAATTTAAATGCAGTCAATAAAATCTTAAACCGTGCACTAATATACTACATAATTGAAGTAATAAAATTCGAAAATGATTATCTTTGTCAAGAACTTAAACTAACTTAAAAGGTACTCTATTATTTAGATTATTTAATGGATTCAGATATTACTTGTTTGTATTCTTACCTTGATAGGGTTATAACAACGAACACCTGGTGGTTCTTTGCGGTTGTAGGCGGAGGCCGTGGTGGTCGGATGCGAACTGAAAGGATGCTGGAGTGACGGCAGTAACGCGCCTGCGCTCTTCATCTACACTATAAGGGGAGTTTCCGTTAAAGCGATTTTCCCAAAAATTTTGTTATATTTTTTTATTTGTTACTTTTATTCATTTTACTAGAACATTTTACAATTGTATGAATAAGTTTCCGGGCATTTTGGTAATTAAGGAAATTTGATGCAATTATGAATATAAATTGCATTAAATAAAACCGCGTAGAGAATTTTCTACTACTACCTGAATATTCTATAGTTATAGGCCTAATACTAATCGACAATAACTCTAAAATAACACTAAAATAGCAAATTTTTAGTTTTAAGTTAAAGCGGTTTACACGACAATACGATATAATATTTATATGTATACATAGTTTCCATTTTGTATGACATTGCGTTCAAGGGGTTTTGTGGTTTAGTCGATAGAAGGTAAGTAATTATTTCGCTGGTAAGGGCTGCCCTGTCCTGTTTCATGTTATGCTTAGTACTGAATAATTTAAGCAACTACTTAACAAGAAATTTACATAGATTTACATAGACACAGTAACACAATATTTTTAATCCCACCGATCTACAGCCATCATGATAATAGCTGCGTCCATCTAATAATAGATAAATTACAGTATAAAAATAAATATAATTATTTTTAGAAATATAGATACTTACATTTAATTTTATAAACATGTATATATGTATATATGTTAACATATGTAAACACTGGTCCTTCTTAATCGCTACATAGTCATTCAAACTTAAATACATAATAATTTCTTGGTTTTTATTTTTGACCTGTAAAATTTCTAGCAATGACAACAGTTAATTCCTAACTTTCAATATTTGCCAGTTGCAGACCTCTAGCTCACTAACTCTTACTTGTGCTAACAGATACCATTGCAGCGACTATTATAATTTTAGTTATATTAAAGAATGACCAATTGTATTAATGAAACTCACCTCTAAATAGAGCTTAAACACTGTGTAAGCAAAATGTATATAACATATACAGCTATATAGTATTAGAGATTCAAACGGACGTACTTGTGAGTGCACGTATAAAATTCTAACATAAACAAGTACAAAATGTAGATTATTTTGTTTCAGTTTGTGCTGTTTTACGTAAAAGTCAGACTGTATACATGCTTGTTTCACTTACATTAAATATATTTACTTTTCCTTTACCCAATGAATCATTTACTAATAAAATTTAGTAAGTACTCAGTAGCGCAGTGGTTTTTTTATGGATGATAAAGATATGGTGCATCCGCTTGCGCTATGAAGTCAAATCAATTAGCCTGTCGTGAAGAATTCAATAGATATTAAATATGGTGGTTTTCAGGGGGAACGCATGGTCGAAACCTGAAAACCTTTCATAGCTAAGTCAACTAGCGATAATGCTCATTGTGGTCAATTCAGCAGGAACTAGTTGCTGACTTGTCTTCATTCTTAATCTATTTTCCTACTCTAATGTATCGCTAGTGTATACCTTTGTATACCAGGTACGTAGCATATTTCATAAATAAAAAAAGGTTTCGGTTTTAAATAAAGAAGAAATACTTATAAATATTTCGTGTTAATTACTGTTAACACTGAAAATTATTAATTGATTTATATTAGCCTTCTAAAACAAATTATACGCAGGAGGAAAGTGAAACCGAATGAAAAAAAACATTGTATTTAGGAATAGAAGCTAATGGGGCTAGGTTCACACTAGCTATGCCGAAGGGTTTATAGTTATCAGTAGATTGTTTTATCTTTTTTTTATCTATCCAGACTGGCAAACAAGTTTACCGGATAGAAACTTTCCCATTCTTACGGACTAAGTATTATGTCAACATACCCTATAATTTCAAAGCCATATTGCACCCATTTCACTAAAACATAGCTTGCAAGCAAACTGCCAGACTTAGGTGGGACAGAGGTAGACTTGCAGACGTGTCAATGTCAATTCCAGCAATATCATTGAATGATTAATTTTTGACCTACATGAACGTCACATATTTTTTTATCCTTATATATTTTCGGAAACATTGTATCTAATCAGTGCTTATGGATAATCTAAAGCTCAAACTCACAAAATAAATAGAGATGATGTCAACCAAAAATTTACAATGTATGTAATCTTTACGTAATACAAATTATTGGTTTGCATTGCACTTGCCATTTAATGTTTGTTGGCAAGGGAGATAAATATTGTTACGTAATTTATATTGATTAATACAGTGTATGTTATTAAGAGAGATAAATTTACATATATCACACGTTTAGCGAAGTTTTACTTTATGTCTGAAATTCGTCTGTCTGGGTATTTCAATCAAACTTACTTCAGATGATAACTAAAACTAGCAAACTGCTCACACCATAACGCGATGTTAAGATGGGAGAGGGATTGTTAGTAATTTGGACTGAGGACCTCATTGCTAGCAATATGCCTTGTCATATTGACCTTCACGCAATTCCCCCTGGAAACCACCATGATAACTTCCTGATGAATTTGTCACGATGGGCTAACTGACCTGACCTCTTCATCTCATTATATTCCACTGGTGCCCCGTCAGCGTATACCGTTAGCGCAGGCGAAAGCAGCATTTTATTATCATACTTAAAAAATATATATCGCAGTGTGTGCACCATAACATAATTATGCATTAAAAAAAAATACGTCCGCGTGGTGCTGTTCATGTAAATAAGCGACGGTTACCGTTTACCATTAGTTGGGCAATCTGCTTGTTTACCATTGCAATTACATAAAAAATATCCTTATATATACAACATAGGATTATTTATAAGTATTTATCAAATTGATTGTCAATGATTGGTTAAGAAGCAACAGCGTGAATTTTTTATTCAAAAGGTGGAAAAAAGCACACAATCCAACTGATGGTAACTGTAGTAACGGTTACTGTAGTATATCGACCCCTGAAATGCCAGGTATAAAGTATAAAGAATATATAAAGTATAAAGTATACTATATGTACTATTTAGTGCTGTGGTCACTCTATCACATAGTAACAGATAATTCGTGGATACTATCAGTAATCAATAAGTACGGATTATGGTTAATGGCTGTAGGTGTACTAAGTGGGTACAGTCACTTCCAACCAACACTCATCATAGTCAAAGTATTTCAGTCATTACTTATAAGAATAACCTTGATAATATTGTAAAATACTGTAATAAAAAATAGGTATATTACATATAATATATTTAAAGTATTATATATAGATAGAATACGTTTCTATTTATATATATATATATATTTTGTTCTATATAGATATATTGATTTGTTAATAATTACTATTTTATTGTTAGATAGCTAAAACATTCTTAAAGTCCACTGATACTAACATATATATATTTACAATTTCAATAATTATTAATTCTATTTGCATTATACAATAAAACAGAATAGTTACATTTAGAAATGAATCAATACATCTGTCTAAATACAATAAGGCGGCCTTATTGCTGTATGCTAATAAATAATATTAATATATATTTTAATTACTCTACTACTTAGAGTAATAAGAGACATAGCCAACTGTCGCCTTTGTGGTGAACGGAACATTTGATATGCAGACATTTCGCTGGGAATATTTGATTGCAACGTGGCAGGAGGAGAGCCTGCGGTCATCTCTCTCATAAATCTTAAATAAATAAATCTCTCGGTTTATTTTGAAGTTGTTTAAAAATGTTTATAAATTAACACTAACATCATTTTCACGTGTGTTTTTATCAATACAAACTAAAATATCTTCATTCGTCTGGATCTATTGCAGGCTCTTATGATATGGCAATTCTTTTGTGGACGATGCAGGTTTGGTGCGGGGTTCAATGTATAATCAATTTTATAGTATTCGTATGTTTCAAAAATAAATAAAACATTTTTACATATTATAAAACCAACCGCTTTTAAATTACGTAACGGATTTCAGCAGCTGATATAGTGATTTAAGAGGAAGGTTTATATGTATAATACAGTATAGTATGGAACAAACCGAGAAATTATAATTTAATAGGTACAAATGTGATCTATATTATATACATTATTGTTTACACGTTGTGGAGGTATCTCTACTACGTGCGAAGTCCATTATTGCAATTTCTGTCTGCACTTCATTATAGTATTGTTTAATCCCTTTAATTACTTGTAATCGTTACCTACTTATACATAAATTCTTGTTATCGAAATTCCTTTCTTCGCGGCCGTCTACGTTACAAAGCATCGAAATCCACAAATAAGTATATACGGATAACTTAAAATACTTATGTAGTCTATACATAAGTATTTTAAGTTATCCGCTTAGTTAAGATTATTTGATCCCGATTTGGACAAAGCAAATTATAACTTTTGATTGTTTTAATTAAAGTCACGTCTAAGGCAAACTTCTGCAAAGACATTAATTTTTTTTTTATTATATACTAGCTGTCCCAGCAAACGTTGTTTTACCTTAATATAAAAAAAAATTAAGGGGTGGACTATCCCTAACATTTAGGGGGATGAAAAATAGATGTCGGCCGATTCTCAGACCTACTCAATACGCTCACAAAATTTCATGAAAATCGGTCAAGCCGTTTCGGAGGAGTATGGGAACGAAAACTGTGACACGAGAATTTTATATATTTATAAGATGTATATTATTAGACTTTTCTACATCAGCTGCCATTTGTTACGGCAAAAGAGGGACAATGTTCTAATCTGAATGGCAATATATTGCAGTGGGGGGAAGGGGATGGTTAGTAATGGGAACTGATGCCCCATTGTTAGCAATGTATCATGTCAGGTAGACCGCCACGCGGTTCCTCCTGGAAACCATCGCAATGACCTCATGCTCATCTTATTATCCCCCACTGGTGCCCCGCCAGCTTAAAACCGTTAGCGCAGGCGAAAGCAGCATTTTATTATCATACTTAAAAAATATATACAATGGATATTTTGAAATTTGTGATGTTCATGTGTACAGCCCACGTTTACTACTTACTATTGGGAGGCAGTTAGCTGGATATTCCAGTCACATTAAAAAAATTACGTTCATCATATAGTTGTATTACAAATTTAGAACGAATGTTATGATGAATTAAATGAATTGCAAAAGAAACGTAAAAATCGATTGTATTACTCAAGGTCACACTATACACATTATAATAGGGTCATTGCACTAAGCAGACCTCGACAAAAGCACAGACCCCGCTGTTAGCAGTGCGCGTCCGTGCAAACTGCAAATAATAATAATTTCAATATCCACAATGATTCATTAGGTATTAAATAAGTATTTATTGATGTTTTAAACAATAAATCTTATTTATAATTACATAATTGTTATATTTCTTATTGAAATACAATGGAATTTCGGTGTTATGCTGAGGGTTGGTAACTTAACGATAAATGTGTAGTATTGTATCTTATATGCAAAGCAATATAAAATGAAAAACCTACATGTATAATTGGATTTTTTTATTATATATTGAATTGTTGGTGCAGTGCAGTGCACTGTACCTACTTATAATAAAGTAAAAAAAATAGTACTATCCTAAAACGAATAAACGATTTTTATTCAAATATTAATTGACTTTTTAATTCCTCAAAGATTCTGTGAAGTCAGCGAGCAGCATCATGACAGGAATATGTAATAGATATGACGCCCATGTCGATCATGATATCGCTTCTCGACTAGGAATTTTAAATAGATTAGTTTAAGCCAGTTCATGAGATTTTTTCGTTAAAATTTTTCAACAATGACACCAGTGTAAACTAAATATGCCGGAAAAAACGACCATATTGATTCAACTAAGATATCGCTTAATTATAACGTAACTACATAATATGTCAATACATCATAGATATACGGAAAACAATAGAGCTGTAAAGAGACCGTCATTTTACAAGGCGGTTTGATAACTATTAATGTTCATAAATGCCTCATTTGATTTATAAATTAATATGATAATATACCCGTACTTTATTTGACGTCCGGTTTGGATTGCCCTCTGATCAGTAAGTTCATGGGGGCAGTTTTGAATAGCATCATAGAGGGAGAGAAAACTACACGTTGTCATAACGCAGAGAGAGACAACGACATTTAGTGTTGTAGTAAATGATCATTTAACAAGTACAGCAGTAAGATGTTATTCGCATTCCGTTTTTATTGTACAGTACATATTAGTTACTATTGTAGCACATAAGGCAGTTATTTGATAATATATAAGTTGTATTTTTATGTAAAATAAAAATTCACTAAAGAAAAATACAAACTAACTGAATTATGTAGGTAGTAAACAAGATAATAACATTATTATATTTTATATATGTCTATGTTTGCTCATTTATGTAAAATGTACTTCATGTACAATTTACATAAGGTTACTTTCAATCATTATGTACTATACTACAATTCCCTCTAGATGAGGAGGGTGATGTTATAATAGTTGAATGAATAAAAATTTTAAATTTATAGACGTACCTAGCAAGCTATTTACGAGAACAGTTGGCATATCAAATGTTATTATTTCGTTATTACATTGATATTATTTTGTATTTCTACATCTATCAACTTTATATAAAATAAAACACTTCCGCGAGAGGCAAGACTTTAGTGTACTTTTTAGTGCCTACGTAATAGGAAATTACACATTGATTTTTAATGTAAGTAGAATGACAAATAAATTGTGACATGTAAAATGACAAATAAATTATAAAAATTACAAAGCTGACGGTAAGTAATAACCATTACTTAGGAGATTGATAGGCATTAGATAAGTGATAACCATTGCTTACTAAATGTGCAGCATGTCTCAATATCATCATGTTATCATGTAACATTTTTCAACCAATGCATATCTTACAAAGCAAAGTGCTTGGCGGCTAATATAGGTGATGACTTTTTACAAAATGTAACTCGGTAAAATATCAATAAATTCAAGTAGTATTTAATAATGACATGTAAATACTTAAATATTTATGGATCGAGTGACGCATAGTTAGTTATCGAGTACCGTGATGGTTTCTGTAGTCACATCACTAGTCACACGTTATCATTCATTCTTTGTAATCCGTTCATTATAAAACCAGTCATTCACGCATGCGTTGAAAGCAGTTCGGCGGGAAGTCACATCGGTGTCAGAACTCATTCTATTCTAGTTACAGCCCTGAGTCGGACTGAACATATATTTTTTACGTAATTAGTATATTTTAATATATTTATAAAAAATGGAATTCGTCGGTAAGAAATACAAAATGGTGTCATCAGAGAATTTTGATGAATTCATGAAGACCCTTGGTGAGTTATTTCTGTATTTTTTACGTAGTTTAACGGTATAACTGTACTAAAAATGCCGGCCGGCTAACCCCACGCCGCCGCTCCGCCGTTTTGGCATTTGCAATATTCGTTTTCGTTTTCGTTGAATGCTAAAAAGCTTTGTAATAAAAAGGGATAAAATTATTTACAAGGTTATATTCTACTTGTGTAAAGTAATATTTCAGAATTTAGAATGCTTCGCTGAATAAGTGTCTGAAGTTACACTTACAATTATTTTATTCTGATATTACGATATGTACCTACCTACATTTTTATTAATTATGTACCTAATTATAAGAACTTTAGAAATTTCATTACTCGACTATTAATCTTCGGTAATACATATTTATGTGTCGGCATTACATGTAAGCTACCTACCAATTCACACGATGATTTCATATCAAGTTCTTTGGGCCAACGATTCGATTTATTTCATTACTACCCTCAGTTCTCGAATGTAATTAGGCATAGGCATAGGCATAATATTATAAAAATATAACTAATGCGAATTTTAATCTAAGTGTACATAACTTTTAAATGTGATTAATTTACTACCATTAATAATTACATTAGTCAATCACATAATCTCTCAAGAAGCTTGTCTATTAGCCTAAAATTTTGATATTGCCCAGTTATGAGTTAGTCTTATATTTCATTTTTTCGACATAACATTGATGTTATTACTGGGTACTTTTCTGTAGCGGATTTTATCCTCCGTTCAAAATATATTCGTCGCGGTCGTTCATGTGTTAAAATTGGGCTTTTTATAAAGAATCTAGAATAAAGTTAGAGAGCTAAAGACAGTAAAGCTAGAGAAAAATCTAGAGTAAGTTGAACGGTACTTCAATTATTTGCTATATTTTGATCAATTTCTTCTTCTCGTACCTTACCTATTATACCTGTAACAAGTGACAGTCGCATAAATAATTCTTTTGCATACTCTTATAAAAAGACCATAGAATATAATTGTAATGAGTTCGACCTTGCAGAAACTTACGTGCTACGTCGCGATTGGCGAGACGTGGTCTATCAATTTTTATAGTTTATTGTTTTATAATTGCCATCTTCCTTTTTTTAACTGGACAATTGAAATAATGGGAATAATAATATAAAAATAACTAAATTGTGGTCTCTGCTAGTTTAAGTAGTACTCAGGAGTCTACAACTGTTATTTATGTCCCAAAATGGCGACGGTATTATATATTCATAAAAAATGAGTAATCTTTTAAAATAATTAAACTCTCTATATTATATCCATATTTGATTATATAGTGAAAAAAAAAATTGATGATGATTTTATAATTCTAAGACAATTAAAATGAGGGACAATATTGGAGGAGTAGATTTCATGGGGTGAAATCTGCTCCGTGGGCATACTATATGAAATCAGCCCAGATTTTGTTGCAGACTTTATAGCTACCATTCATTTTATATGTTTAAATTGAAGCAAACTGCAAACATAAAATCGGAAAATTACCGACATAACTAAAATCTCTCGCAAATGGCATGACATAGCTTTTAATTCTAAAATAATTACCACCTTTGAAAGAAAATAAAAATGGTTTCCATTTTTTTTATTAAAATCTTAAGAGAGCTTAGACCTTAAAATCTATTAATATAAATAATACATTAATATCCAAAATTTTACAGCAAATCTATAATTGAAAAAAGTTACGTAATCCGCATTTATGTACCCATTTCTTTCCTATTTCTGTTGCCAAATACCTGTGATACTTGGCATATTATAAGGTGTGTTTGAAGGCATATTGGCAAAGGTACTGATTACGGAACTATAGAGGCGTAAAACTTTAGCCATAAGGAATGGCAAATGCATACCATGAGACCCATGGCTGGAGGGCTGATTGATTATTGTTTATAGTGCTGTCCATGTCAATTGCTGCCAGTTGCTACTAATGTGTAATTATGTGATAATTGTGTCTATAGGGTCTTGTTTGTCATTCCAATATATTTGCCAATTAATTTTTAATAGATGTGATGTTCTTTCTCACCTAAATTAGTTTCTCTATGGTTGGTTTTATATTTTAGAAAAAACCAACAGCTTACAATCCAATACATAAAATCAACAATACCATTCTAGTATTCATTAGTATGTTAGTCTATAAGGTTTTTATAGTAGTGGTCTGAAATATATAAATAAAAATAAATAACTTAATAATACTTTGTGCAGTAATTATTAAAATATTCAATTTTTAGAAGTCGCTTTCTAACAGTTTACCCTCAATATCGGCATTTATAGCCTGATACTCTAAACCACAATAAAAAGTCCTCCACTCATGAATTGCATTGATCTTTTTATCATTGCTTCATATGTAGCTGATAACACGTCGACACAGTGTCTAATCAAATCGGCTTTTTTCTTTATTGTACACATAATGTTATTAATCTCACTCTATCAGCAATATACAACACTATTATAAAGAGATTACACGTTTATGTAATGAGGGGCGTGTATATGAAGTGAAGCCGTTTATTTGTCTTTCTTTTATATAATTGTAATGACAAACAAACTGACGGCCCTTCTGATGTTATGTGGCAACTGTATTATGTACAGGAACAGAACTACAGACACTAGACTACTCTTATTGTTTTCAATTCTGTAAGAAATAAATGTACAATAAAACATGAAAATATTCAACTGTCAGGTTCTTTTTTAGTATGTATTTTAGTGAGTAAAAATCGCTTGACATCCCTTCTGTGGCGGAGTAGTCGAGTGAGGATTTTCCACATCTTAGAAAAAAAAGGTTTAGCGTGTAGTCTGACTTTCCCTAATGATTAGAAACTAGTCGAGTTTATCTTTTACCTAATTTTCGATAATAAAATGTTCTTATATTTTATTTGGATTATAATTTTTTTTGTTATCCGCCATTTACTGCTCAAGTACATAAAGATAGATTTATTTTTATCAAAGAAAACAAGTTGCACCCTTTTTTCGTGAAAAACAACTGACTGATAAAATAGTGACCCGTTCTAGTTACCTTACTCAATAATATCTACTTTTATATACTTTGATGTATTTATCACCGTCATAAAACCTTTGTAGATTACACATAATCCCTAAAATAATATTAAATACACTATCTTTAAATGTTATTCAACAGAAAGACCTACAGATAAAATAACTATATAAATATACAACGAGTCATAAAATAATCAATTTCGGTAACAGTGGCCTGATTATTTAGCAGGGAAATGAGTCAATAGTGGAAACAAAAGTTTCCTTGATCGACCACCAGTGGTCTAATGAATGAATCGCTCTTTATATGATATAGGCACATTCCTATGTGATGATTGCATTTCTTATACAAAGATGCACTTGGACTTTGCCGCTAAGTCATTACAATCGTATTATTTATAATTACTAAAAGGAGTAATGTGATATACAATATTATTTTAGAAAATAATTTATTCACCTAAATGTAAATAAAATATGATAGGAAAATAAAAAAAAAAATTGTAATAATAAAATTGATAATTTTTTATAGACTAGTATCCTTAATGCAAAGCTTTAAGAGTCTAAATCATATATCTAAAATTACTATAAAATTCTAAATATTATTGGTCTCATTGAATATTGTGAATATTAAAATAACTGAATATTTAAATTACAATAGAGTCTGTTATAAAGTTGACAAAAAGTGACCTCTGACATAACTACGTGTCTATCAGCATACCAGCCATGCATGACATGTTTTTTAACCCCAAAAGTAATTACATATTCAGTGTTTGTTAAATTGAAGACATGCGTTTTTATACAACTTCATTATGCAATTAGTCATTTCCTATGAGAACTAAGTTTGTGCCAATTTTCCAGAATCATTATGTGGTGCCAATTTAATATGCACATAACCACCTACTCGAATATGCTTGCACTTTGGACTAGAACCTACTGACGTGTTGGAAAATTTTAAACTTGTTCAATGCCAATTATCTGGTATTTCTTCCCTGGGTAATTAATCCCTTTAATTCCTTTCTTAGCAGTAAGGCAGTGCTTTGAAGAGGTGGTCCAACACAGACGCCTCAAGTTTCCCATAACTAAGGAAGAATTCTCACAAAGTGTACTGTTCCATTTATTTCTCCCGCCAAACAGTTTGCTTTGCAAGCTGGTTTTCATAAATGAATCTTAGACCTCAGAAATGGCAACGTATGTGCGATACGATGGACCTCACAACGTTTCTCATGACCGTAGTCCTATTCCTATCGCAATTTTGTTCGTCATTCAAAACACAGTGTCTTCCTGTTTATCAAAATATGAATGAACGGAAAACAGTTTTATGAACGTTATTGTTCCAAACAAGCTCATTCCCCAGTGTACTATGGGTTTGCAGCACATTGATTGTAGATATGAAATTTAATTTCTGCCTTCGGGAAGCTTTATATAATACACTGGCTTGCAACGACGTCACCTTCTTAAAACAAGAGTTATCTTGTTTGCTATTATGCAAAGAAGCAAACATAATATTTCTTATTATGTTTGCATTTTTTCCATTATACCAAACAAGAGGTACTAGAAGATTGATTGCGAATTCTTAATCGACCGTCAAAAGGAGATGTTAAGAAATCAATCAGATGTCCTTTTTAAACTGACATGGTGATGATGGCTTGATGAGCTTCTTATTTTATACTAATTTATCTTGCTTAGTTGAGGATATTTATATATGTAACTACTCACGGATGACATGGTTTATTTATGCATTATGAAATGGTGGTTCCTGCGGTAATGGTAAACGAAGGAGGAAATATGTAAAACAAAATGTGCGATAATGAAATGACCTGAACGTGATTGATTGTCGAATTATAGGATAGTCACTATTTTTGACAACCACTCAGGGGGTTTTTGCGCCTTTCCCTCTATATTATACCTATTTATGATTATATTGCAATACTATAGTGCTATATTCGTACACGAAGTTTGCATAATGATAAAGTATGGTTTACGTCATAAAATTGCTGAAAATTAACAT